TCTGCAAAAACGGCTTTTCAAGACGGCTGAGTGGACTAGTTGAGCACTGCTAAGAGCAATATTTCGATAGAGAAAATTCGAATATCACCAAAGGTCATATTCTGGTGCATTTGATCTTAGCAATGTTCGTCAATCCTACAGTTTGCGCTTAATCTTCTCTTTTTTCTTTATCAGTGTCATTCCTTATTTTTGTATTTCCATAGGCTAATATGGTTACATTTTGCGATGCCAGGCAGTTTTCAAATTCTCAGCTAATTGAGGTCTAGTCTCGCCGATGAGCTATTCGATTTCCGAAGCCTTCACATCGAAGTATTTTTCCCTTCATTTTCGCCTCATGCTTCCAAAGATCTGTGACCGCCACTTAGAAAGGTATCAAAATGAATATCGGCGTTTTTTGTAAGGATAGTTACTGTGCAAGGTTCTGTCTAGTGTGATAGATGATTGAACTTTACTGTATACTGCATCGTTTGGACGGCATTCCTAAGATCCTTTAGAAAAACAAGACGGATGGTGCGAGGCAAGGAAAAGTTGTAATATACCAGATATCGGAGAGAAGCTCTATCGCAATAGAAAATAAAATACGAGACTGAATAACGTCCAGTGTTTTGCTTTTGATCTGTTCGAATAATACTCTCTTGAGAGATACGTTTGAGGTATACAAGGAAGTCATTTGTTTACGTCGTCAACTTCGATATTTTTTCATAAAAATTCATTTGAGAGCTTATGGTAGGTTTACTGAGTAGAGCTTCAAACTAGACAGTTTTAAAGAATTAGAAACTTCAAATTAGATGCGCTTTTTCCATAAGAGAGCACGGTCTTCAATTATTCTTTTGCTTAGACTAAATTACTACTTCCCCTCCTCAATGCAGTATCCGGGCAAAAAAAAAATCAGCAGGTAAACAGGGTCTTTTCTCTAAGTTATTCTCCCAGCTTCCGGAGCGATCTCCTTGGTTCCGATTTCAAGTCACGCTTTTGCACTTGGCCGGTGGCGATCTCGGCTTGAGGAGTTGAGAAGCTGTAAGCACTCCGGAAGCTGGCAGCGTAAATTCGCTGTGGGGGAAAACCCTTCCCCCCTCGGACCTGCTGACCTCCCTATTAGAGCCCTTTTTCCCGTTTTCACGCTCGCCAGTGTAGATTTTCGGATTCAACATAGCGAGTAGGCCCGGGTAAGCACAAAACCTCAAAAATCGACTTTTGCCCGGACATTGCTTTTAAGTAACTCAGTAACTATAGAATTGATGGAATCATTCTGCATAAAGTTGAAATCAAAGATTCGGGCTTCATATTCAATGATATATGCTATGTGCTTCAGTTGATCAGCCACCTATTGTTTCCAAACGTTTGCTGAACATACAATCCATTTAAGGCGCTTTGTAGCTTGAGCCAGTTTTATTAAGTATTGACCAAGTTCGACTGTCGTTTAATCTCGGCATGTTGTAGAATGCTTGTTGTGGCTTGTTTAGCTGTACACCGGGATTGGTAGATCCTTTATTTGACTAACGTTTCGGCGGTATCGCCTTCTTCAGAGTCTGAAATTGTCGAATGCATAAGTGAACTATCCGATCAAAAACCGCTTTAAGACTCAGGAAGACGCCCAATGCGTCAGTAAAACAAGAACTCGAAAGTGAATGCAGGATTAAACTAGTGCTTACCTAAACAAATGCCGACAAAGTGGTGTTGCAGACCACTATACCAGTAACCTAGCTCTAACTTTCTTATATACCTAGTGGGCTGGCCTCAACTTGACCTCAGAAGCCGCAAAGGCTCTGATAAGGCGCCAACTCATTAGTGATGTCTATGCACTCATCTTTTCGATTCAAATTTGGATTTTTGGCGGTAATCCAAAACGCCTCTAAAGTCTTGCGCGCTAGGATTTCGGATTCATACACTAAGATCGTGACCTCCACCTGTATGTCTGCGTCATTATGGAACTGTCTGCGATGCTTGCCCAGTGGAGTAGCAGTGTTCGATCTTTTGAGCCCGTCTAGGTGTTCTTTGACGCGTACGCATAGAGGGCGCCCCGTCTCGCCAATGTACGTGCCTCCGCATGTTTTACAAGTGATAAGGTAACTACCCCCGCAACCATGCAGTCGCCTTCTTTGCCCTGCGGGCATATGATGCATCCTGGAGTCGTGCAAAGTCTATCATACGCCCTATTTCGCACTAGTTGATGTTTGAGGTTGGTAGGGGGTATGTCAACTACCCTTATCCAATCCTGAAGGTCCGCTTGTAGCACTAATCTTCTGACTGACTTACTGAACTCTTCTGAGATATATGGCAAGCAGAAAGGGATCTTTCCATCAGTTTCTGTGACCACATTGTCCCGGACTCGTCGATGTTTTGCATAACTGTGCCTGAAGGACTTACAACCGTTAGATCGAGCTACGCGGTCAGCTAATGCTAAAGAGTAAGCCTTTTGCTGCGCGTCAGAGGAGACTTTCACAGCTGTTTTGAACATATTTCCAACAACTGTTTTTTTGACTTGCCGGGGGTGCGCTGAAAAACAATGTATTAGAATGTTCTTGCTGCTAGGCTTTCGATACCATCGAGTTCTCCAACCATTCTCTGACAACTACATCTCGACATTCAGGAACGGCAGCCAATTGTCACTAGGCTTCTCCCGTGTGATCCTTATGTGACGAGACTGCTGATTGAGGATGTTAAAACAGAGATCCAGCTCTCCTTGGGTGGGGCACTATGCAGCAGTCATCGACGTAACGGTACTCTTGAAGGAGTGTCTTGATTGTACAGTCTTTCGCTGGTGTGGTAACTATTACAAACAAATCAGAGGACTCGCTATGGGCCAGCGCTTAGCACCTACATTGGCTATCGTCTTTATGTCTAAGATAGAATCTCCCGTACTCGCACGAAAATCACTTCTCTTCTGCCGTTACATCGATGACTGCTGCATAGTATCCCCACCCAAGGAGAGCTGGATCTCTGTTTTAACATCCTCAATCAGCAGTCTCGTCACATAAGGATCACACGGGAGAAGCCTAGTGACAATTGGCTGCCGTTCCTGAATGTCGAGATGCAGTTGTCAGAGAATGGTTGGAGAACTCGATGGTATCGAAAGCCTAGCAGCAAGAACATTCTAATACATTGTTTTTCAGCGCATCCCCGGCAAGTCAAAAAATCAGTTGTTGGAAATATGTTCAAAACAGCTGTGAAAGTCTCCTCTGACGCGCAGCAAAAGGCTTACTCTTTAGCATTAGCTGACCGCGTAGCTCGATCTAACGGTTATAAGTCCTTCAGGCACAGTTATGCAAAACATCGACGAGTCCGGGACAATGTGGTCACAGAAACTGATGGAAAGATCCCTTTCTGCTTGCCATATATCTCAGAAGAGTTCAGTCAGTCAGTCAGAAGATTAGTGCTACAAGCGGACCTTCAGGATTGGATAAGGGTAGTTGACATACCCCCTACCAACCTCAAACATCAACTAGTGCGAAATAGGGCGTATGATAGACTTTGCACGACTCCAGGATGCATCATATGCCCGCAGGGCAAAGAAGGCGATTGCATGGTTGCGGGGGTAGTGTACCTTATCATTTGTAAAACATGCGGAGGCACGTACATTGGCGAGACGGGGCGCCCTCTATGCGTACGCGTCAAAGAACACCTAGACGGGCTCAAAAGATTGAACACTGCTACTCCACTGGGCAAGCATCGCAGACAGTTTCATAATGACGCAGACATACAGGTGGAGGTCACGATCTTAGCGTATGAATCCGAAATCCTAGCGCGCAAGACTTTAGAGGCGTTTTGGATTACCGCCAAAAATCCAAATTTGAATCGAAAAGATGAGTGCATAGACATCACTAATGAGTTGGCGCCTTATCAGAGCCTTTGCGGCTTCTGAGGTCAAGTTGAGGCCAGCCCACTAGGTATATAAGAAAGTTAGAGCTAGGTTATTGGTATAGTGGTCTGCAACACCACTTTGTCGGCATTTGTTTAGGTAAGCACTAGTTTAATCCTGCATTCACTTTCGAGTTCTTGTTTTACTGACGCATTGGGCGTCTTCCTGAGTCTTAAAGCGGTTTTTGATCGGATAGTTCACTTATGCATTCGACAATTTCAGACTCTGAAGAAGGCGATACCGCCGAAACGTTAGTCAAATAAAGGATCTACCAATCCCGGTGTACAGCTAAACAAGCCACAACAAGTTTTATTAAGGCTTATAAAATGTATACTATTGTTTAATTGGCACCGCAGTTATTTCACCGTATGAGATCCGCGATGTTGCTGCTACTGAAGGAATCTAAAATAATCTTACCCGAAAGTTATTTTTGAGCGTGTTAGGCCCAAACTGTTCTCTCATACCGGTGAGTCAAGAACGCTGCAAGTTGTTATCTCCCCAGCTTTGCGCTCAGAAGACAAAAGTTCAACCTTTTGATGGCTTTTATGCTAACTGGGAGATGCAAGTTGACTCGTTGGAGTTTTTTGATATTTGTTCTTTTAGGACGAGAGGCATTCTGTTAAGAGTCAGAGCCCCAAGAGGCAAAACTATTTCGAAAGCTAAGTTTTTCGCTGCAAGAATACTGCCTGACTTAACTAAATCACTGGCACAAGACGCTGTTCAAAACACCTTGGCTCCTTACACTAGCAAGTCACCCTACTTCCTAATCATTGATCATTTATAACTGATTAGCACCCTAATTCCAATTTGTTTGTTTGTTTGCTATCATTGTTTTTTCTTTTTTTTTTCTGCTTGTTAGTCTTGTTTTGCTTATACTTTACATCTGGTTCGTTGATCTCTTGTTTTTCAGGATATTCCTTGCTTCTTTCATTCAGTGTCAGCACGATAAAGATAGAAGTTAAGCTTCATGGCCCCCTGTTTTTGATATTGTTTGTCAGCTGTAAGTATGGAGGTTGTATTATGAGCCTGTGACGTAGCTCGCACATTAAGGGAAACTGTTAGCACCAGTGCAGCTTCCCTGAACCGTTTCGATCTGTCCAGAGATAACGTTTTGTGATAAAGAAAGTAATTTATATTTAGATAAACAACGAATTGATTTATTGATTCAAATCCATCCCGTACACTACATTTAGAATTTTACTCCTTGAATGCAGTGGCATCAGAGCAATTGACTAGCGTGGTACCGCCATCGATAGTGACAGTTTGGCCAATCATGTAACGTGATTGGCTTCGATCTGCCAAAAATGCGATGAGATTGGCGATATCCTCTGGTTCTCCGCATTTTCTAATAGGTAGGGTATCCGGTGAGCTTTCAGCAGCTTTGTATATCTGTGATATCGAATGATATACGAGATTAGATTTGAAGAGATAACTTTTTCAAGGGTTTTTATTAATTTTGCTTTGCGAATCAAAATGTAAGAAAGAAGATTGTGGAAATATGTGCAAAAGATATAATTGCCAGTCAATGAAGGGCAACAAAATTGAATTTGATTCAAATTTTGTCATTTTCTACGTCTGAAGAAACGTAGCAAATCTCGCCATACCTCTTCTGCTGCTCCCGGCTTCAATCCTGCTGTTACACCGAAGTTAGTTTTTGTAACACCAGGTCTAAAAATCCCTTTATCATCCTAGAAAACGTAGAAGGAGGAAGGGGGGGGGGGTATGTGACTTACCGTACAGCATTTACACGTACTCCTTCAGCTATGAGCTCAATTGCCCATGCACGAGTTAACTGATCCTGTGCCGCTTTTGCCATGGAATAATATGCCCACGTTGGTGCCCACTAAAACCTTGATAAATCAGGCACACAACGATATTTAGGAGGGGCTTCTAGAGTTATCCGTGTGTCAACGCTGTGCCAACGCCGTGCCGACACCCACATAACACGCCCCTTACTGATCGGTCGACATGGCATGCTGGCACGGACAGCTTTAGATCGAGCCTTAGATGGTCCAACCAACCCCGAACGGCATAGCGGCAATGCTAGAGACGTTGACAATTTCCCCCTTCGCCTTGATCAAGTATGGACAACATAAATCCACCATTTGAACAGCGCTAAAATCCTCTGAATTGTACATATTTTTGAATAACTGTTACCTATAGATATTCAGATCCATTGTTTTCTTCAAATAAGCAATGTCTCCTAACAAACCACCGTATGATCCGAACATTCCACCAACATTATTTACCTAGAATATCTGGGGTTCATAAACAATCAAGCTAACATTAGATATCAATCATCTTCACCAGTATATCGATTCTGCCCCATTTAGCTACGGTATCCGATACGATCTTTTCTTTTACAACATCGTCAAGAATATCGCCAGGTATTGCAAGTATGTCGTCTTCTTTACATGCGGAATCTTTGATTATGGATTGTCTTGTTGCCTGCGAATAAGAATTCGTTCAATAATGGAAGGATTCCGAATAAAAAGTGAGTGACATGACAGATAATCATTGGAAAGGTTTTGAAAAATCAGTGAGTAAAAAATCAGTTTTTCAGTAAAGTTGAAATGGGAAGTTTTGCCGCTTGTTAGGCAGTAAGGGATTTGAAATCATTGTTCATTTACTAACAAAAAAGTATCAATGGTTTTTTGACTCGAGGTTAGCAAATAAAAATACAAGGATGAAGTAAGGACACACGAAATATAGTTGCGAAGACAAAGTAAGATTTGAGGGGAAAAAGATATTGAATAAAGATGGCTATTAGACGTGAGAGCAGACAATGTGAGACACACAATCGGAATATTGTAATTCGAAATACTTACCTCAAGTTCCTCAGTTTTGTTCGATGTGATGGTAACCCTTGCACCCTCTTTTGCAAATAACAATGCCGTTCCAGCTCCGATGCCAGAAGAAGAACCTTCAGTTTCAATTTTGTATGCTTTAATTTCAAAAAGTCTGATTGATAATGTGCTTCCTGCACTGACCAGCAAAAAATTCAATTAAAACTGAAATAAGGACCTGTCACGATAAGAACTTTTCCTTCGAATCGACGCATGGGTGGCTGGAGAAGTCGAATCACTGGTTCGTTGCTATGTGCAGCACTTTCATTGTAATACGAGCAAAGAACAAAATAACTGTAACCGAAATAACTTGAATGTTCCCGTTTCTTTGAACCTGGGCATTGTTTATTATCTCTAATTTTGTTTGTGCCAAACAGGTTTGTTATGGTGGTATCTTCATTCGAATGGCCTAAAAATTCCGCGCGTTCGCCGTCCTCAGAGGCACAAAGCGTCATCCAGACACCAAACCATCAAATGTCTCCTCTAGCTTACCCAGTTTCAACTCTTTCCTAGTTCAATCCGCATAAATCCTCAAAAACCGAAATGAACAACCGTTTGCATCGCCGCTATGTGAAGTGTCCGCGTCGGACTATGACAGTACGACCGGAGATATGTGTCAGAAGCGGCAGAGACTACTACTATACTCTAGAGGGCAAATAGAAAGTTATCGACGAAAGGTGTATAAATTCTATCTAACATCTATATATAGCTCATACAGTTGGCCATAGCTATAAAGCCACCCCAAAAATCACTGTAATTTGCTTTCTTTTGTTCGAAATTGTCTGAAAAATCACTATTCTGTGCAAACTAACGCTGTATCATTGACCAGAACGGCTCCCAATTTCATTGGTTTTGGCCGGAGAAAAAGTGAAAAATTTGAAAGGGGCTCCCAAGACTGGTTACAGCTATAAAGCCACTTCTCAATTCCAATCAGTACTACGTTTTTTGAACCTGAAATTTTTTGTACATATACAACATCATAATTTGAAACATTTATCACACTTGGAAGCAGTCGCCTTTTTGAAAAGAAGATTCATCCTGCATTTTTCGCTTCAAAATATATAAAAAGTTATGATGTTTGGAAAAACTACCTTTACTCCGAATTCTCAAGCATATGTTTGACACCAATGAAGGTCCTAGGCTTCGCCAAGCCTTTGCAATGAGTATGGTGAAAAGTGCTGGACTTAACATTGCGTAATCGCTGATCTTGATAAACGAGCCTCATCTTACCGAGGTGTAAGCACACTTTTGAGACGTAAAACTCGATTTCTGACGCGCGAAAATTTTCGGTTGGAAGTTGACACCTTCTTTGCATGGTGATGTAGTCATGCAGAAGCTGTCAGGCTTTTTACAAAGACGTATTTGCAGCATTGAACTTAAAACGGCTTGTCTGCAGTTCGGTTGTGCGCAGTGTATCTCACATGATTTTAAATTTTACTGCTTTGAACTCCTCTTCAAGTCAAATCTTACAAAACTGTCAGGAATACTAAAATTTTGAAGTTCTGAGCAGTTTTCCGCTCGATCGAGAGGTCAAAGTGTGTCATGATCAGGCAGAGTGCACCACTCATTTTTGTAAAAAAAGCGTCCAAGGCGGGAACAAAATCCTGAGAGTTGCGATGACGTTCAAGCTATGCGCACGAGTCTATCGTTGTACAGGCGACGTGCTGAGCACGTGACAGAGCTTTTCGGGCATTAGAACTTAATTTTTGCGGTTCGAAAACTCGTCTACCGGGCGGTGAGGTTGAGGCTCGTTTATCAGTATCAGCGACTACGCCATGTTAACTCCTGCGCTTTTCACCATATTCATTGCAAAGGCTCGGCAAAGCCTAGGACCTTCATCCGAGCCAAACAGATGCTTGAGAATTCGGTGAAAAGGCAGCTTTTCTAAAAATCATAACTTTCTATACATTTCAAGCATAAAATGCAGGATGAGTCTTCTTTTCAAAAAGGCGACTGCTTCCAAGTGTGATAGTTTTATATTTTAAAGTAGTCTATGCACAAAAAAATTCAGGTTTAAAAAACGTAGTACTGATTGGAAATGAGAGGTGGCTTTATAGCTGTGACCAGCCTGGACCCCTTTTTTCAAATTTTTCAATTTTTCTCCGGCCAAAACCGATGGAATTGGGAGCCTTCCTGGTCAATGATTTGACGTTAGTTTGTACACAGAATAGTGGTTTTTCAGACAATTTCGAACAAAAGAGACAAATTACAGTGATTTTTAGGGTGGCTTTATAACTATGGCCAGTACTGTGTAGTGTTACGAACGGCAGGAAGTCGGCAGTGATGGACAAGCACTCGTTCTTGTTATTCATTTCTGGACTCTCTGCCGAGTTCCAGAAAGCCTCTGACGCCTTTCTGGCCGGGATCTCGTTCTCGTGTGTCAATATCGTGCATTTGATTTTGAAGTCATTTCCATCGGTGAGTCATTCCTATGCCTAACCAGCGGTGTTATTAAGCTTTTTGTGGCGGATTTTGGGTGGCGTCTTTGAGGAACGGGCTAAGGGTGGTCCCGTACAAATGTTACACGACAAAGATATAGTTAGAGTTTATCGAGCTCAACCGCACGCGGTGGTGCAGTGGTAGGATATTGTGACAACAGGCAGAGCCAAACGCTATGCACGCTTATATCATACTGAGACACCGAATGGTGACCTTAATGGTGCTTACGCGAATAATATGCGAGAAGCGATATGGATGAAACGGGGGTGCCGACAATATCGGCACAATTTTCCTTCTTTTGCTTGCCAAATGTTCTTTAATTCGCAAGCATAGTACTCCGCCAGTTTCACCGATATACAGTGCGCCGCATTCAAGGCATTCAATTTGGTAAAGTCGACTGCACGAAATCGTTCGCTGTAGGCCGAACGCACGCGAGCGTACCCGCAACGCGGCTGTCGAGTACGGGTGTCCCGATGACTCTACTTTCGCGCAGTCTCCCCGTTTCCGCCGATGTTGAGTGCATACTGTCAAGGATAGTTTATGGATCTTGATAAGTGTGTAAAAGACTGGGCAAGAGGGACTCTCTATTTTAAGTATTGCGATGGATCTTTCTTCAAAACCGGCAGATTTTGCTATGAAAGTCTACGATATCACCATAACAAACCTGTTCGGTACAAACGAAATTGGAGATTATGTCATCAGTATGTTCTCTACCTCCTGCACTAAATAAGGATTTGGTTGAGAGAGTGCAAAGAAATCATTTGTTGAATGATTTTACTTCCATGGCGAGTTTTTTGTTTTCGTCTATTACTGATGAAGGAACTCTACAATTTTGAAAAATTCTAGAAGAATATGCTAGTACTTGTTTCTTTGTATTTTCAACACTATTATAGCTTGATGTTTGCATTGCTGAAGTATATATGCGACTGTATGTGCAAAAAGGAAAATCATAATGGGCTCCAGTTCCAGATCTATTAAGACCTGGTGGTCCAGTTGTATTTTCAGGAATTTTCTTTGAGGGGGTGGGCGACGAATTTCTAGATACCAACTTTTATTAAATTACCTCACAAATTAATTCTTTTGCAGCAGTCAAAATGTTGCAAAGTTGTTTCTAACTATAAGAAGCTAATGCGATTTTCAAGCTCATGAATTATTTTCATTGCTCAAAAAAGAAGCGAGTTACTTGCATAGTTTTATATCCCATATATTATGATATAACTATATGAATTTGCAAGTTCTATGAGAAGTAGAAGTACTCTAGGTTGTCAACGTTATGATCGTAAGTTATGACTTTCATAATGAACTTTGAATGAGCACAAGTTTATATACAGGGTGTCACAAAAAATATGTTTACTGTTTGATTGTTAGTAGCTCTCTTGTAATAAAGTCTTTCGAAAACCTTTAGGTACCGTTTTGTAGAGCTGGCTTTAACTTAGATTCACGGTATAGAGCGAATCATCGATTCACGGTTTAGAGCGAATCATGCTTTTCATTACTGTAGGATTACGGTAGAAACTTCAATTATATGGCGTCATTGCCGTTCCAAAAATTTTCAAAAGAGTTATAAACTTGTTTAATAGGGTTTTTGTGGACGCTGAGTCCAATAATCAACTACGCGCAAAATTGCGAAGCTTTCTAAGTAGTGTAACCGCACTTTTTAGACATTGAAAAAACGGCCGCTAATACTTATCTCGCATTTTTTAATGAGGCATCATGATAAGCTGCAAACTCCACATTTAGAATCAGTAACTCTAATTAGCGTGTAAAAGTTTTCGTGCTGTTTCTTTTCTTTTCTGAGAGAAAATATGGCCTTTCATTGCTCAAACCCTTGTTAAAGTTTCTACGGTATCCTACTGTAACGAAGAGCGGTTCGGCTATTCGCTCCATACTGTGAATCTAAGTTGAAGTTATCTCTACAAAACGATACTGTAGCTACTCGAAAGTCCTTTCTAACACGCACATTTATTAACTTTTGAGCCTCTTCATCGATTCTACTTATCGAATCATAATTGCTATGAAATGTTAGGATTTGCAATTGCCAAAAAATCAGTCTTTTCGGAAAGCGGCACTTTTTTCTCGCAATTATAACTTTTTTTAAGAAGAGCTCGGTTAGCACAAATTTTGCTCACATGGAAACAGGAGGTCAGGAAACTGAAGATAATGGCTGTTTTGAGTTATACTGCGCATTTTTTGGGGTTCTAACGAGCTTGCCTCAAATCGCCGAACTTCGGAAGATTTCCTTCTTCCATTTTTATCTCTGCATTCTGAACCTCGCTTAAAGTCGTCCGGCTACCACTGAAAAGTACATGTTTACGCTTTCTAATAAAATTTTATTGCCAGCAAAATCTTATGTTAGAAAGAAATAAGAACTTTTTTGAAAACTGTGCGCCACCGGTTTGCAAAGATTTACAGTTACCTACCTAAGGAAAATTTTTTGATTCGAAAAGCTTGGAAAAGGAAATTAGATACAACTCATCTTCTAATCTGTGACAACAGAACGTTATCTAGGCTATGATTTGCTTGTGTACGTTCGTTTTTTTAGAGCATCGTCAAGTGTTTGACTGAAGCCGATTGTAATTCACAAACTAGATAACCTGACCTTTTTGGATTTTTTGCGGTAAACTTATTTATCGGTCATCATTTATAAAAGCCCATTTTTAGCAAAAGTAAGTTTGAACGATGAAGACAGACAAGGAGGGCCAGGAACAAGTAATAGGTAGACGACTCGTCCTCGTTAATTATTGTTCAGTTTTAAAGCCAGGTTGCATCGGTCATCGATCATCACACTGAAACACAATTTTCTTCGAAAATTGCGTGGTTCTTTGATTTTAGCTTCATATGATGCTTTCAACATAGGCTGCAAAAGATATGTCATACAAATAATGGACACTACTATCTCAGACAGCTCCTTGTAAAAAGTTTCAATTCTGTCACAAGGCAACAAATCTTTCGCGACCATGTTTCGATAAGGTTTTCGCTGTGGTCGTTGACCTCGGGCACTCCTCCAAGGACTATGTCTTCACGGCCAAGTTTACTTAAACCGCCTGACGGATCGTACTTTGATTTCCTGCGCCGCTATGCCACGATTCGCAGGAAAAGTCGCTATTATTACTGGTACAATTTTTTAATAGCTACTGTGTTTGATTAGATCAATGTTCAATTCTCTCCAGGTTCTTCTTCCGGTATTGGAGCTGGAACCGCTGTATTGTTTGCTAAAGAAGGTGCAAAAGTAACCATCACTGGCAGGAAACGAGATGGTCTTGAGGTCTACTTATACTTTTTTTGCGTATATTCTCAAGATTTACATTTTCAGGCTACCAAGAAGGCCATGCTTGAGGCTGGAGCTAAAGAAGATGATATAAATATCGTAGCTGCTGATGTGGTCGATGCTCATGGCAGAGAAGAAATAGTGTCAAGTACCATAAAGAAGTTCGAAAAATTGGATATTTTGGTAGGTTTTTGGATTTTCGAAAAACTTTTCACCATCCAGGCTTTCTTATAAAAGCTACAAAATCCGATCTATAGCTCTCTGAAGCAACCTTAGAATAGAGGCTAAGTGGATGAAGCTCGAAAAGCCGAATATTTTTACGTGAAAGATTCGATATTTTTTATCTACTTTGATTAGGGTTGAAAAAATACGATCATTCAACTCCCAATTAGTCAGCACATCAACTATTATTTCGGTGCAAAAATTCTATATAGCCGTTGTAGATTTATAATTATTTACTTATTTTTATACCGTTTGATTGTCCTACCACTTTATTCCAAAATCATATTTGATTTTTGTTTTCTCACTTACATTCCAGGTCAATAATGCTGGTGGCTTGTTAACCGATCAGAAAGGATCAGGAGGAATATCAGCTGATCTCGATACTTTGCAAAAAACGATGGATTTGAACGTCTACAGGTATGAATTGAAAGTTATGAGGCAATGCGTGCAATAACAGGGGGTCCTAATAGTTTACTGGTACTTACTGTACTGAGTGAAAATAAATGGATGAGTTTCTTTTATTTAGTGTGACTAATCTAATCCAACTTGCTCGTCCTCACCTTGTCAAAGCAAAAGGAGAAGTAGTCAACGTATCCAGTATTGCTGGACAGCCAAGAGGCGTTAGTATTATCCTCAGTTTCGTAATTTATTTTTTGTTTGTTTATGGGTTTTTTAGTCCACATTCGTATATTATTCGATGGCAAAGGCTGCATTAGATCAGCTTACGCGTGGAGTCGCTCTTGATCTGATCGCTGAAGGGGTTCGAGTCAACAGTGTGAGGTGAGAAGTTGAAAGAGAGAGATGGATGAATCTTTGACGAACTGGACATTTGCAGCCCTGGCGTTGTGGTTACAAGATTCTGCCAGACCGCAGGAATGTCTGATGAAATGGCAGCAAAGGTGAGGAGTTAAAAGTTCTGAGACATTGAACCAAATGCTAAATTGCAGTTGTATGAAGCGTTCGAAAGTTCTACAGATGCTCTCCCCATTCGCGAAGTTGGAAAACCTGAGGAAATTGCCGAGCTGATCGCATTTTTGGCCGATCGCAAAACTTCGCGTTACATCGTTGGCCAAACTATCGTCATCGACGGCGGCACCACGCTTGGCACAGCCTTGAATTCAGTTTTTTCCGGCGAGAAATGAATGGAGCATCTGAGAAGAATGACTCAAACATTTCCCAGATTACAAATCTATCATTTCGCTGTGCACTTATTCAACCCAAAGAAGATAAACATTGTAATAACCTCTCTGGATGAACCAAGCTGGTACCACACGTATAACTGTTCTTGGGATAGTAGCAGAACAGCCGCTGACAATAATGGTAATCCCAACACGAAACTGAGCCTTCGGAACCTATTTATGTCACTGTTTTGGGCGTGGATAACTCAGATGCTGACTTCTGGTAAACAGTATCATACAGACTAAAAGGTGTATACATGAAAAGTGGGCACCGCCAAGTAAACTAACAAGTACAGGACCGAACGAACCGATTAAACAGAATAAGTCTGGCACCTGCCTCAGTGACATCGGACATACGCGGGAAAAAAAGAAAAAAATTGTCTATAGCAAAGAACAGAAAAAGTAATGAACAAACTATTAGGTTGATGCATAATTCCTGCACCAAAATAGGTACAGACCGCAATAACTCGGAATATTCCTATATCCCAAGTAGGATTCGATATATCATTAGATAGCGCAGACCTAGCTCTACAAGATAGTGCTCGAATATCTACACCAGCTTTGATCCACGCGAAGTTTTGAGCCAAAAACTGAAAAAAACCATGCGTCCGAAAATCTTAAGACCAATTTTAAAAAAATTGCAACTTCGTTCAAAAAGCTTCTACAAAATTTCTTTCTTGCTCACGCGTAGATATTCCACGTAAGACATCTATCTATGCGGTTTCTGTATTTTTTTTTTCAGCTAGACGATGAGAAAACGAAGTTTTTCATGTTTTTGCCAAATTAGTGCTGAGACGTTCTAGCACTAACTGTTGTATAGTACATGCCATCATCAGTGAATTTTACATTCTCAGCCTTCTAGAACAGCTAGTTCACGACTAATGACGAATCTAGCTCTCCTCATCTGAATATTTCTTGAATAGTTGCCAAAAATTCGATATTTCTCGTAAAGCAGCTGCTGTAAAAAGCTAAAAACTCACACTTACGCTTCTAAAGCCCTATAGTATACAACTGTCAGTGCTAGAACATCTCAGCATTGTTTTGGAAAAAACGTGAAAAACTTCGTTTTCTCATTCTAGCTGAGACAAAAATACAGCAACTGCACAGAGAGATGTCTTATACGAAATGACAATGCATGAGCATGAGCATGTTAGGAATTTTGAAGGATTTTTCTGAACGGACTTCCAATTTTTTCTTGGTTTTTTGGGACGCTTGGATCTTTTTGGTTTTTGGCTTCAATCTTCGCTTGAATCAAAGCTGCTGCAAAACTTTAAGCGATATCTTGTAGAACTAGGTTTGCTCTATCTAATGATATATCGTATCCTACTTGGGATATAAGGTTATTGCGAGTTATTGCGGTCTGTACCTATTTTGGTGCAGGAATTATGCATCAACCTAATACAACGCAAATATCATCAGAAAATATAGGGCATTTGAAAAATCGTAACGATGGCATGACCGCGCACGACACGCACGCCACATGCGGAAACCGCTTCTCTTGGTTTTCATCTCTAGCCGAATGGTTTTTTTGCTAACGTATGATAATATTTAGACACTGGAAGTGACTGAGCTAAGCGTGAGGTGATACCTTCTTGTATAAGCGTTTCATGTTCCTGTGGGCGCAAAGTCCGCAGCAAAATTCGTCACGATTTTATAAATGAACTATATACAAAAAAAACAGCAAGGAAATAGCCAGGAAGGCACGATAATATTTCAAGAATAAGAAACATGCGAAGTATACATAAAAAGACAATTCTGTCAATGTTATTAGTAGCATGTCAAGAAAATTATTTGGGCTCTCTTTTAGCACCAGTTGCGTTTGAAGCAATCACCAACATGGAACCGCCATCAGCAACGATTGTTTGGCCGATGATGTATCGCGATGAGCTGCGATCCGCTAAAAATGCTATCACATTCGCTATGTCCTCTGGTTTCCCAACTCCATCAATGGGCAAACAATCTGGTGATTCTTCGTATTTTTTGTAGAACTGAAAAAAAGCATTAAAGAAGAAGTCGAGAAAAAGGAAAGAGCTCAGACCTCAGCCGCATCTTCTTCGGTTTTTCCAGAGTTCTGAATGACATTTGTGACTACAACACCAGGATTCACACTATTCACTCGAACACCTTCAGCAATGAGCTCGACGGCAAGTCCACGGGTCATTTGATCCATAGCAGCTTTAGCCATAGCATAATATAGACAAGTTGGAGTCTTAAGTAAGTGGTATCACAAACAGGGTGAAAAGGGAGGCCACGCCTATTTTTGGGCAGTTTTAAACCCTCCCAAAAAACTTGGGCGAATGGCAAACAGCAAAAGTCGAATGACTAACTGCTTTCGGTAATGCAGCAATGCTGGAAACGTTGACTATTTCTCCTTTAGCTTTCACAAGGTGTGGTCGAGCTAATTGTATCATTTCCACCGCGCTAAAATTTAAAATTCAAAATTAAGATAACATGCTGAAAGCCTCAGGTTAAAGTGATATCGAGTATTTACCTGTACACATTCAAATCCATTGTTTTCTTCAGCACCTCTGCATCGGCGCTAATACCATTTGAACCGTTTTCATCTCGTCGCAAACCACCCGCATTGTTTACCTAATTTCCACAGTGTAAACAAATAATTTGTGTCAACAGAGTAGTCAATCACCAAAATGTCGATTCTGCCCCATTTTTCGACCGTACTTCCAACGATTTTCTCTCGCCCATCAGCCTCAGTGACATCGGCAATGACAACATTGACGTCGTCTTCTTTGCCACCAGCTTCAATGATGAACCGTTTTGTAGCCTAAAAACTGCTCGAATAATTCGGATGTAAGTGTGCGATCTAATTCGTAAGTGGGCTATTGGGAGATGTGATGTTACAAGTAGACTACTAGGTTCATTGAAGAGAGGAAGAAATGCTGCATCGAAAAGTAGTAGAATTCGCCCTCCTTTATTCCACGTGGTGAGGTTTATGACATATAAATTATCAATATAGAATGAAAAAACGCAAAGAACTTTCGGAATAACCTAATATTATTTTTACGGTGATGACAAATATAAGGTGGTGGTGATTTTTGATCGATCGAGAAGACTAAGCGGGTCAAGCTTCTGAGAACTGAATATAATTAAATTCTTAAACCAGGAGTTGCTTAAAACTTAAATCCCAAAGCAGTTGTGATTAGCAGTAATCATTCATTTCGCAAGTCTCATGTATAAAAACATTTTCATGCTTATAAAGTAGGACTTTAAAAAGGGGAGACAAAGAAAGTTGCGATGGCCAAAATGTACAAATTCCATGAACGTCCTTAAATGTGGGTTTCCGAATTTTTCTACTGCCAAAATCGAAGATGAGAGATTTTCTGAACACCGGTACATTAATAAATGCGCAGAGCCATTGAAAAAATTATACGATTTTATAAAGTAGACTTATTATGCAACCAGCATATCCACAGCAACCATGTATTGCGATGCGAAGAACTGTAAAATTTGAATCAACACATAGCGGCGTGTCTTATTTTTTATTGTATTTCAACTATCAGAAATCTTTCTTGAATGTCTAGACCACGAAATCAAGCCCGATTTGGAATCCATTTGAAGCTTAGGATTTTGAGCGTTCAAAATAATAATCCAATCTAACATTTGTCCAGAAATTTCTTTTGAAGAGACAGTTATATTCGTCCAACCTCAGATTTCAGACTTTTCAAATATTCGAATATCGGTCTTTCAAATGATTTTATATAAGAAACTCTAAGCTTCGTAGACAATATGTCAATAGAGTCTTTACCTCAAGACCATCTGATTTTCTTCCAGTAATTGTGACTTTTGCACCTTCTTTTGCAAATAATATAGCTGATGCTGCTCCAATACCCGATGAAGAACCTTGAATAAAGACGGATGAGCCTCGTTCGTCGAACAAAAATACTGGAGACTTACCAGTAACGATAGCAACTTTTCCTTCAAAACGGCCCATGGAATATGGATGAATGAAAAATAAAGAAATTAATAGATGCGAGGCTTTCTTGTACTGAAGATTGAGTAATGAAAGTGGAAAAGCAAATAACTCCAATTTTGCTCTAAAAAGGTGCTGAATTTACAAAAGTACGAGAAGAATCAGTAAGAGCACTAGCGCATGAGAGAGCTGTAAGCAAGTGCTGGCGATCTTTGTTTACATCCCTGCGTTTTGTTTTTGTTTGCCTGAAGCAGTCGTCATATGACGTGTTTCGTTGCAAGCGTACGCACATGCATTTATCGACTGCAAAGTGGCTTTGCTAAAATTAGACTTCCATTTTGATACGTCTAGTAAGTTTATAATCCCAGCAGCATTTTTTTACCTCTAGCCCTCTAGCGCTAGTTTTCGCAGAGAGACCACTTTTTGTTTGTTATCCTATCTAAAAGCATCTAAAAGTTTGCTTTCTATGATGGTTCGTGTAAATGCACTCGTTGCAAATTTTTGCTCACTCCAGAGGTTCATATCTTCAAAGAAAGACAGTGAATCTCGAAACCTTTACTTCCACACTCCTTTCTAAATTTATGAAAAATAGTGGAATTTTTTAGAAACGTGCTTAGTGATTATGGAATCGCATTTTTGATGGAAACTTGAGCCAAGGAATTTCGACACACTTACATGGTCGCGAGCCGGTCTGTAGTGTATAAGTATTTGGAGGAAAAGGTTTGCAGAGTTTTCGCTCTATTTAGCTAGCGTAGACCTAGTACAACCAAAAATAGACGGCAGGGCCTTTCTCTTTTCTTTTCTAAAAGAATGTTTTTTGGCTAAAAGAAGGGAGTGCTTCCGTTCATCTACTCAAATGGGCGTAGGCAATGAATGAGTATGGTTTGCAACTCTAGTAATATAATTGAGACAATCATGTTCTTTCAATAGGTTGCTAGAATATTTTTTGACCACTAGACCACTTTCTTGACCACTATTTTTCGACCTGACCACTGCGTGCTAGAAAATGTTCCTCTTAGTGGCTACATTCAACGAAGATGTGTGTTACATAGCCAAATGCGTGATGGAAAAGTTTTTATTATGTGTTTGGTATATACGGGGTGTCCCAAAAAAATTTACCGAACGTTTGATCGTTAATATCTCTCTTCTGAAGAAGTCTTTACCCTTGCTTCAAGTACCAATCTGTAGAGCTGGCTTCAAGTTAGATTTGCATTATAGAACGATTCACTCATCTCTCTTCATTACTGTAGGATTACAGTAGAAAATTCAAAGAGGGTTTTAAGCAATGAAAGGCCATATTTTGCCTCAGAAAGGAAACAAAACAGCCTCAAAACTTTTACACTAGGCTTGATAAGTTGCAAGGAGGTGCCGACAAAGTCGGCACACTCCCGCCAGCGAGGGGAACAAATAAGAAACAGCGAAACGAGCAGCATAAATGTAAGCACTGCAACTAAGAATACTAAGCAAATATTTACCAGGGTACCTTAATGGACGTATCTGGGGAGCCTGGTAATTGAGAGCGAGATACTGGTTAATGCAGTCGTGCCAGATGGCATAAGATCGCAGAGAAGCAATTGGCAGTAAGGCAGAGTATAGTGGATAATTATAATGTCTTAGTATATCCAAATTCATCAACGGCAAAAATGGAAAGTGGAGGGAATAACGCTGATAATTCTTCTTACTCTCCTTGCCTCGTCGCGGGTTTCCGATCAGGTGCCTGTCGATCTCATCATTGCTTCGTCGTTTACCTCTTCCAGGTATGGTGACCTGCGAAGTCGTTATATCATCTTTTGCTGGTATATTGCCATCCTTGGTATCTCCGCGAGCCAAATATGTGCGGTCTTCAGAATGCTGATTGAAGCGCTCTTCGCTTTCCTCTTCTTCTTCCATTGTCGCGAAATCTACGCTCATCATCGCGAGAGTATCCATCTCTTTCCGCATCGTGTAAAAAGGTTTTGAACAGGCAGGATTGCCGTTCTTTGACTACTTGGCTTATCTCAAAATTGCCTTTGTATGTTTCTGCGCATAGGATTTGATGTCCTACAATACAAACAAAAACATATGCATCGGAAAGCAACTGATAGAAGCCAGCCTCCTTTTCAAGCTTTTGTAGCTGAAGCATGATTGTTTTTCTCTCGCTTTTGAAGTGCGTGAGATAAAATTCCTCAAATTTGTCGATTATTGACTGCAAAATCGTCGATCTCGCTTTGACTTGCGATAGAGATAAAAGGAGAACATCTAAATTTTCGAAACATTTCTTTTTCAAGCCTTCATTGTGCTGCAGAGTGAATTTAACATCGGTACTAGGCTCGAATTTTTTGAGCAGTTTTGCTGGTGCTACCGAGTGAAATGAAATTGCCTCTTTGAAGAATTTTAGAGACATTTTTGGTGCAAAAATTTGCGATTATGGCAAAAATATGGCTGTTTTTGAGCCGTTCGCTACCTTTTTTAAGCGAAAATTGGGATGATTTTGTCCCGGATTGCGGTAGAGAGTGGCTGTCGCGAGTGTGAAGCAGCGGATTTTGGGCGCTGGGTCCCAAGGTTAGAATAGCTAACCTTTGTGCAGCTGAGGCGAGTGATGGGTCTTGCGTATTTGGCCGATGCACCATAAATGTGGTGGCTCCGTGGCTTTCAGTGCCTTAGGCGGAAATAGCGCCTTTGGTGGAGCAGTGTAGCTGCTGGTAGACAAGGTAGTCCAGCAGCTTTATTGAGTCAATCAACATGCCCGCATGGGTGCAATGGTAGAATGCTGGTGATTGAAGGCGTGGTAAAGTAGCATCACAAACATGTGGGCAATAATACACTCGCATCGCAGCAGGTCATGCTTATGGCATGATCTTAACGGTGCTTAGAAGAACTGATGATAAGTTGCAAGGAGGTGCCGACAAAGTCGGCACAAGGCTAATTAGAGTTGCTGATTATAGCTGTAAAGTTCCCACCTTATTACGATGCTTCATCGAAGAGTTATGCAAGGTAAGAGGTAGCGGCCATTTTTTCAATGTTCCTAAAAAGTGCGGTTACACCGTTTAGAAAGCTTCGTAATCTTGTAAATAGTCGAGTATTGAACTCAGACTCTATAAAAACCCTATTACACAAGTTTTCACAATTTTTTGGAAAATTTTGAAACGGCAGCTTTTTTCCACATTGACACCATATGATTCAAGTTTCTACCGTAATCCTACAGTAATGAAGAGAGATGGGTGCTTCGTTCTAAAATGCAAATCTAAGTTGAAGCAGCTCTACAAAACGGTACTTGAAGCAAGGCAAAAGACTTCTTGGGAAGAGAGATCTTAACGACCAAACGTTCGATACATTTTTTGGGACATCCTGTAGATTTTGTCAATTGAAACCTGCATTAACCATGAATTAACCTAGTTATGACATTTGATGCAGCTTTTGCGGAAGAAAAATTTGGCGAATATTCGATCACTATTTACAACTGAATACCACCGATCTTCAGTTACCATAATATGGAGTGAATGAGTTAGGGTTCGAGGCATAAGCATTGCACATTTCCGCAATTTCAAATCTACTCGAGTAAGCTCGTATACCTCAACGGCGGTTTTCTCAGTAATTATCAAAGTGCGATCACGCCATCTATTCTGCTGCAGACCTATGAAAAGTCGCTAAATTCATGTTCTAAGAACCTCACCAAATAAATTCCATTGATGCTAGACTGTGTCAATTACAAGTAAAACTTTCTTACATCGATTTTTCTCCAAAAGTCTCTTAGGGATTAAAGTAAGAAACGCTCAAAATAACGACAGTGCAACAAATTGTTTACCAAGAACAAACATAGAATGAAACAGAGAACGTGATAGAATTACAAAAAATGCATGGAGTGGCCATGTACACGTATAGATGATGGTTTCTAACTAATTTTCCTGTAACTATTGGACTTCTACTTGGACCTTCTTTTGGCACCAGACGCATTCGAAGCAATGACTAGCATAGAACCACCATCAGCAACAATTGTTTGACCGACGATGTATCGAGATGCGCTGCGATCAGCCAAAAATGCTATCACATTCGCTATGTCTTCGGGCTTTCCAACTTCGTCAATTGGCAAGCAATCCGGTGATTCCTCGTACCGTTTGTAGAACTACAAATAACATGCATTTCGGGGAGCTTGAAAAAAAAGCAAGTGATAGACTTCAGCCGCATCTTCGTCCGATTTTCCAGAACTTTGTATGAAGTTTGTGAGTACCACGCCTGGATTTACACTATTTACTCGAACACCTTCAGCTATGAGCTCGACGGCCAGTCCACGCGTCAGCTGATCTAGGGCAGCTTTAGCCATACCGTAGTACACACAACTTGGAGCCTAAATAGACTAGATCTCTATTAGGAAGGGGGTAAAAATTGCAATCTGATAACTCCGCCCTTGCCACGCCTTTCTTTTGTTTGAGGAGGACTTATGGTTGAATGTATGTGCAGATAGCGAAGAAGATAACTGACTCCTTTGGGTAATGCAGCAATGCTGGAGACGTTGACTATTTCTCCCTTTGCTTTCACCAGATGTGGTCGTGCTAGTTGCACCATTTGCACAACGCTGCAAAAATGAAACTTTGTGAATTTGAAATTTTAATACTGATAGCTGATAACCTGTAAACATTCAAATCCATTGTTTTCTTCAACACCTCTGCATCAGCGTCAACACCGCCGGAACCGTGCTCGTCGCGCAATAACCCACCAGCATTATTTACCTAGAATTTCAGTTTGTGATAATTTTTAGCCGCAAAAGCCATGTTTAACTACCAAAATGTCAATCTTGCCCCACTTTTGGACAGTACTCGTAACAATGTTCTCTCGACCAGCAGCATCAGTGACATCGGCAATGACAACATTGAGATTATCCTCCTTGCCACCAGCATCAATTATGGAGCGTTTTGTGGCCTAAGAATCGTTCCCATAATTTCATTTTATCAATATGACTATCAACGTTAACCGGAAGTTCTAACATTAAATAAGTAAAGAATTATTTATTAATTATTAATTATTAATTAATCTTCTTCTTCTTGAAATGTAATAGTGATATATGTGCTTATATATATACTTATATACTTACTTACTTATATATATACTTATACTTCACTTCGTGCTTCCTTCTTTGTTAGACTGTTCCATTTCCTTTTTTAACATTATCAAATAAAATTTTTTACAAATGAAACTAAAGTTAGAGTTTGTTGTGTGTTATTGTTAAGGAAATAAGGAAATAATTATAAGGAAACTGCATAAGAGTCCAGGAAGGACCTAACTTATAATTAACATCTAGTATCTAACATTCTAACATTCTAATTCTTTTTAAACCACTTACCAATACAATACTATTGATATTAACACATATCAAAAAACACTTTACAAATTACTGTAACGTTATCTGGCAGAGAACAAAAGTCAAACATCTATGGTCTATAGGAAATAGCAATCAAGTTGTGAAAGATTTATATGCAGTAAAAGGGAATTTAAACTTATATTCAGCAGATTTCTCTAGCTTATTCACAAGCTTACCTCACGAAGTAGTTAAATACAATCTCAGAAAACTCATAAACCTATGTATGCAAGGTTATAAATACATCAAAATCTATAATATTAGGTTGTCCGGAAATTAATGCCCGTTTTAAATTTCAACCGCACTAAGTCATACACTTCTCACCACTAAATAGGTTGCAAAGTACCATTCGATAGAGCAAAGCAAGCTCTACAAGATGGCCATCTTGTTTTTGCAACAGCTCTCATCCATCTCGAGTTTCGAGCCAAAAACTAAAAAGACTCAGCAGCCCGAAAAATCGAAAAAATTCGTAACTCAGTTCATAAAAAACCTACAAAAATTCTAACTTGTTCACACAAACACTATCCATATAAGACATCAATATACGCCGTTGCCGTATTTTTTTCTCTTTTAGAAACCAAGAAAACGGAAGCCTTCGTGCATTTGCCAAAGTGATGCTGTGCCGTCCCCACATAGGTAGTTGTATACCACAAGCCTGTAGAAGTACAGACTTGAATTTTCAGCTCTCTACAAGCTTTAGTTCTCGAGAAATTTGAATTTTAGCTTGGACCACCTAACTAGGGAAAGCTATATTCGGTATTTCTCGAGAACTAAAGCTTGTAGAGAGCTGGAAATTTAAGTCTGTACTTCTATAGGCTTGTGGTATACAACTACCTATGTGGGGACGGCACAGCATCACTTTGGCAAATGCATGAAAATTTCCGTTTTCTTGGTTTTTAACAGAGAAAAAAATACGGCAACGGCGTATGTGTGAACAAGTTAGAATTTTTGTAGGTTTTTTAAGAACTGAGTTACGATTTTTTTCGATTTTTCGGGCTGCTGAGTCTTTTTAGTTTTTGGCTCGAAACTCGAGATGGGAGAGCTGTTGCAAAAGCAAGATGGTCATCTTGTAGAGCTTGCTTTGCTCTTCAAATGGTACTTTGCAACCTATTTAGTGGTGAGAAGTGTATGACTTAGTGCGGTTGAAATTTAAAACGGGCATTAATTTCCGGACAACCTAATAACAAAGTAACATATGCTAATACTAATACAACACAAGGTAAATTTTATCAAATGGAAGATATTTTTTATATGGTGGACTCCTTATTGGAATCCAGCTTCCTATATTTTGGAGGTACAATCTATCAACAAATAAGAGGCATACCCCAGGGAGCTTCATGTAGTCCCCAAATTGCAGACCTTACATTAGCATTATGGAATATGACTTCATGAAAAAACAAGCGACAATTACAAACTGTTATAATAGATACATGTACAATTACACTTACAGATACATAGACGACATACTTCATGCCTCTGACTCAACCGATATTGATAATGTCCTGTCAGAGATTTACCACTCCTCTCTTGAAATAGAACGCACAAATACAAATAATAAAATAGCAAATTTCCTTGATCTTACAATTGAAACTTATAACAACAATGTTAAATTTAACCTTTACAACAAGACCGACAGTTACAGTTTTGAGGTCATTAGATACCCACATTGGCTTTCTAATATACCAAGATATATACTTATTAATACCCTCACGTCGGAAGTTCTCAGGATTTACAGAAACTGTTCATGTTATATTGAATTCAAAAATAGAATATTTAAACTCTATCGAATTTCACTTAGAAATGGATGGGATGGGAATAAAGTTACTCTTGTTTTATACCATACACTTTATAATAGACCATTCATTTTACGTAAATACGGCTTTCCTACTGCTATACATCTTCCTTTGATACAAGACCTGCGGGAGATTTGGATAAATACCAACGCACGGTTATTGGGACGTAGCATGCATCCAAATAGTCATGACGGTCCCCTTGACCATGAAGATAACTAACTATTAGGGTGATCCAAAAGTAATGGGGCACCTTGATTTTTTTTACATTCTTCAAGATTTCGTTCTGAATAGCTATGAATGCCCAGCACTTTTAACGCCTTTGTATAAAGTGACCTTCGCAGGTTATCTTGACAGCACCTTGCAGCACCTCATCGACATTTCTTCGAGTGGCGCTTCAAAGAATGCAAACAGACTTTTTTGAACGCCATCCGAATTTGGGCTGCTGCACCTGATAGTCCCTCGACATATGGCATACCATTCGAAAGAGCTTTCCAAGCTCTTTTTAATGATTACTTGAATATCCAAAAATTGCCAATTATTTTATACAAAAAGGCACTTTATTCGAAAAAGCGCGGTGTTTAACGCAGATTTTCAGACTATTCATGGTTTGGACCACAATCTTTTAAAAATGAGAAAAGTCGAAGTAATTTGCATATGTATGGATAGAGCGTAAAAAGCACTATCAGAAAGCAACTGCTAAGTTTGGGCTTATTTGACTACCTTAATGAAAGAATAAGTAATATTTCTCCTGATACCCGATGATATATCTTCTGTTCTAAAACCTTGGGCCCACCGAGCTTTTGTGGATTTGGTGACAGTCCCCTCACCCATTACTGCGCACATATCTTTGGCAGGCTCACTTGTTTTACTACGGCGCTGCTGCTCAAAGTTCAAAATTACTTGAAGTGGTAAGCTTTGCTTTTGAGCGCTTATAAAAATAACGCCACGTGACAGTGCCGAACTATAAACCTCGATCAGAAGGTTTTGTTATATACTAACATCTGCCAAAACTTGGACTTCCAAATAGCTTTTATATTTGAGAAAACTGCATTTCTTCTCTAGCTGCCCCATTACTTTTGGATCACCCTAATACAATACTGGAAATTGCGGTAGACATTATCTCTAAGTACGACCTCAACCGCTTTTATAGTAATACTTTCAAAATGATGTCCCACCTAAACTTTAGAGCAGGCAAACATTAATTTAAAGTGAAGTCTCATTTCGTCAATCTCGATGTACCATCCACTGCATTGAATGGAAGAAACCGTGAGATTTTTGATAGTTAACATTAACTCTAAGTCAAAAGTCACACCGTGCGCGGTAGTCGCTCATAGCACCCAAAATTTTATGTAAAGAGTGGAGGTGACGGCAGATACATGAATGGATAGCATAAGTCGATAGCACATTACGACAGGAGTACTAACGAATGTTAAGTCTTGTAACGCTTGACTTTGCGTTAAGACGTCGCTTAGCAAAAAACATGACTCCTGACCCGTACCCGTTAACATCGTATGTTTGATTTCCACGTGGATGTGGTTAAAGGACTAGTGACTAAACCTTGTATTATTTTGATGTACCATCTGTGATTTCTTACTACCTATTCGGAGCTAGTCGGACTTACACTCTTCCAAGACTTCTAATAGTCTCCTCTCCACACTTATTAGGATCCTTCTTATTTTCCTCTCATTCTCATTCTACATAAATTCTACTCTCAGTCATCATTTTTTCTACACTTTTGCAGCTTTCTTGGGAACTACTGATGATGGGCCACCAAGAAAGCTACACTACCGGTCTAGTTCTTGGGCCCGAAACCGGTCGTGTGTGAAATTTATGTATACAATTTAAACTTCCTTTTTTCCCTGATCTTATTATATCTCATTCAATACTCATTTTATTCTAACGGTTATGTCTAGAGTGGTCACAATATGACCAAGATTTACAGACGAATAAACTCATGTTTCGCAAAAAAAATTATGGTGATTACAAGTATGTTTGGTCATCTAGTGAATAGGGCCAATAGAGAAACACGTAAAGCGCAGAAAGAGAAGGAAATAATTTGTTTTAGTAAAAAAATATGCGGATGAAATATGTTTGTCCACTAACATATGGCTTGGAATAGTAGGAACTCCATGTACTCCATGGCTTACTAGCTTTTTGAAGTAACCATTTGGTAAGTTTGATGGCGTCTGCTAGAAAACTGACCGGATTCTTTACAAAATTGCTATTAAGTGCATTTTCAAGGTTTTCGACCTTCAACAATTTCGCCTGGAATTGATTTCAGGATGATGAGATGGAGCAACCCGTGCAATTACCAAAAATATTTCGTTTGAGGTTTCAAATGATTCCAGAACTTTGTAAAACACTAAATATGTGCTATAAGCTGCCCATTTGGCAATAAGAATCGCGCCTCTTGACATACACCCAGAAAACATAAGCTTTGTGACAAGGGCTTTCAAAGCAACTGCTCAATATTAGGGTCACTATTTTGATAATAACGAGCTTTCGGTTCGCCTATATTGGAGAATTTGATTTAACGAGAAAAACAGAAAAAATTCTAAAAATCAGCCTTTATGCGTCAATTTTTACCTCAAGGCCTTGTGATTTTCTTCCGGTAATTGTTACTTTTGCACCTTCCTTTGCAAACAATTTCGCTGTTCCCGCTCCAATACCGGAGGAAGAGCCTTGAAAAAAAAACAGAAGCTCAAATCACTAGCTAATGACTTTCTGGAAAAGCTGAATTACCAGTGACTATAGCAACTTTCCCTTCAAAACGAGCCATGGAGATAGCTGAATGGAAAAACTAATAGCAACAGGAAAAGATATGAAACCTCGCATCAAGAAACAACAAAGCGAGCAAGTAAAGATAACGATAAAGCAACCTTGGTATGCCTGACGCCATAAGGAGCTTTGCTGCGACAATTTTAAGAGCATTTTCTGAAGATTACACCAAGAATAAGAGAATGTTAAGTGCAGAGCTACTAGCAAATACGTGACATTGCAAATTTCTCCTTATCTTTCCTCAAACTTTTTTCGTTGTTGTTGTTTCCAGCCGGAGCAGCCGTCATGTCTCATGTGTTCGCTGCAATCACCCAGAAACGCAATTTTTCGACGGCACATAGAGATTCTACTGAGCTACACCTTTCCATAAAAATATGTTTGTTTCTTGCTGCTTTAATTCATTCAAGAACATAATGCTTCATTTCCCACAAGTGGATTTTTTGAATCTTGATACAGTTTCAATACGCAGTTTGTTGGTTTTTCAAACTCAATATCGGGACAAGTGAACAAGGAGTTAGTGCAATGCAGCCCAATTATTGAAATCAGCTAGTACGAGTGACAGCCTTCTGCCATATTTTTTAGCAACCCAGATGCTAGAAAAGAAGCCATAAAGCCGTGTCAAACATAACGGAAATTTTACGCTCGATATGTGGTATAATGAGTACTTTTTAAAGTTTCAAAAAAGTTTCGCACTATTCTCTGGTCGTAAGTTCTGACATTTATCTGATCATTTTCCTAAAGCAAGATGTTTTGGCCAAAAAAGGAGGTCAGATTGTGTAAGTTTTAATCAAATATTGTTCGCTAATTTGACGCCATTACAATACTGCAAAATTTTCTGAGTAAATATGTATTCGCGTTAGTATTTGTTCAAAAGTAATTTTGCAAGTCGAAATAAAAGTAATCAGATCGCTAACAGCTTTGAAAATGTAGATGGAAGCAAACGGCATGTGGTACCACTATTTTAAGTGTTGTTGAAATAGTTCCCTTAAAATCTAGGGAAATTAGAGTCTCAGTTTCGGAATTTACATATTTTCCCAAGCGATTCCCTCCTCGTGTATCTTCTATCGTTGATGCAAATGATATCAAATAATGGAGAGGGAACTCTTTATGAACTCTTGCTCAGATGAAAACTATTGCCAATATCGAAAGAAGAAGCATCAAAGCATGAAATGAGAAAAAGTTTATGACCGAATTCGAATAGACATGCGATAGAAAACTATTATACTTCCTTGAAAGCTACTGTCGCCGAGGCAGGCACAAGCATTTCACCACCATCGATGACGATCGTCTGTCCAATGATATAACGTGATAATTTTCGATCCGCCAAAAATGCAATCAAATTTGCAATCTCTTCTGGTTGTGCACATTTTCTTATCGGAAGAGCATCCGGTGTATTTTCCATTGTTTTGTAGAGCTGTAAATATTGGGATCAATAAAAGTATAGCAAGAAAAAGCAGGTCCGTACAGTATCTGCTTCCTTATCTGACATCCCGGCACTTTGACAGAATTTTGTGACAACCGCTCCAGGGCTGGAAATTTGTACAGACACTCAAAACCGCTTGGTTACCTCTAAATTTTTATACCTTACACTATTGACCCTTACTCCTTCAGCAATCAGTTCAACAGCGAGTCCTCGCGTCAGCTGATCTAGAGCAGCCTTGGCCATAGTGTAGTAGACAAACATTGGCCTCTGAATGTTGCTTTACGGGGAAGAAGAAGGAAAAAAATGCCAGATGGTAAAGATTACTCCTCTGGGCTGTCCGGCAACACTGGAAACGTTGACAACCTCTCCCTGTGTTTTGACCAAATATGGACGAGCAAGTTGTATCATATGGGTGGCACTAAAAATTATTTCGGAGAAGCATACAGTTATCGATTTTATTTAAATAAAGTCTTTAGGATAATCTCAATAATGATGTTTAAAATGTTTTTGGGGAGAGGGACAAAAAGCCTTTTCTTACTACAGGGGCTCTATCCACGCCCCTCCCCCCCCCCCCGAAAGGGTTTCTGACATGCTTTTAAAATTTTTGCGATCCCATCTTTGATGTTTCAAAAAAGGGTAGTTCCTTCCCGAATTTTTTAGCTGGCTAAATTCCACAAAAATGATCCAAAATTATTTTCAAGTGAAAACAAGTTTGCCAGTCTGCCAGTACTTTTTTAGTCATTACTCGAGTTCAAGCATGCATCATCCTTCACCCATTCTCTAATAATTTGTGTTTCCAACAATTCACATCTAATAATTTATCCGCTCCTCAACAGAAAATAGCAAACTTTTCGAGCTGAATTCAACATTCTAGTATTTCCATTAACATTCTGACGTTATATAGAACCAAACAGAATTTTGGATTTCTGAACACTCTCACAAAAATCTCACCCCATCCCCGAATCCTCCATTTTTTTGAAAGCGCAAGCTTACCTAAACGTATTCACATCCATTGTTTTTTGCAGCACATCAAGACTAGCTGCAATTCCACCATTTCCAGCTTCATCTCTTATGAATCCACCAGCGTTGTTCACCTATAACAAAAGTGTTCATTTACCAAAAGTTCGTAGTGTTTTACCTACCAGAATGTCTATTTGCCCCCATTTTTCAACCGTGGAAGAGACAATCTTCTCTCTTCCAACAGCATCAGTGATATCCGCAATGACAACATTGATGTCATCTTCCTTACCTCCAGCTTCGATTATGGACTTTTTCGTGGCCTGAGTAAGGAATAGTTTGTAAATGATTGGAATATATCATGGACAAGAGAATGAGATCAAGCAGTACAATTAACCCACAATGTGATTGCGCTTATTGCAAGAAAAGAGTGGAAAAATGTCTTTTTACGACTTTTTCGCAAAATAACAATGCGAATTTATTTTTCAGAAAACGGCAAACAATTCAGGTCAAATAAGAAGTCTACGTAAATATAAGTATACGAAAGATTTCGTATGGGCATTGGTTTAAACATTTTAGCTAAGCCATTGCCGCAAATCACACGATTTTTTGGGAGTTGAAAAATTTAACTTTAGCTCTGACCCACACCGTATTCTTTCGCAGCGAATCAATTAGTGTACCATACTCAAACACGCCATGACTAAATTTGTACCATGGCTTTGATGACTAGGTTATGAATGGGATAATTCCTTATCTTTACATACCTCTAGCCCTTCAGCCTTTCTTCCCGTTATGGTTACTTTTGCTCCTTCTTTTGCGAACAGAAGGGCTGTTCCCGCTCCAATGCCAGACGACGAGCCTCAAAAGCTAGTTGATAACATAGGAACAAAAGCCATAAATAAATAATAAATATCGCTATGTACTCTTCTAGCCTTGCTCAACAAGTGAGAATATCAGGTCCAAAAAAATTTTAAAAAAATGCCCGATAAAGTGATATTAATAGATTTCAATGCTATAAGTGCATTGTGCCAACTCCACAAAAAAAACTTTGCATTGTGCCAACTCCACAAAAAAACTAAGTCTTTGTCAAATTCTTTTTTGTTTTCAACTCAAATATTCATGTTTAAAGGATTACCTGTAACAATCACGACCTTTCCGTCAAAACGACCCATATCAGTAGTGGCTCTGAAGAATCAGCGATCGCTTTGCAAACAGAGAATAATATGGCACTTTTAGTCATCGTATGTATACATCGACCGACACGCAGCGAAGAGTAAAAAACTGAACGCTGCAGGGAAAACTAGTCGATATTGCACGTGGATGAAGAAAAAAGCGAAAGCTGCAGAAACAGAATTAGTAGGAAATTCGGAAAAAATTGCTGAGTGTTATTGCGAAATTGTGGCTTGATATTACTAGATTTTCAGTGTTTATTCTACAGAATGAAACGAATGGATGAGTCGTACTCTATTTCAAATTTACTAGAATGACTTAAATGTAATGAAAACTCCGTAGCTTAAACCTATTTTCAGGTAAAATGTAAACAGGCAAATGCTCTGAACGGTATCCGATTCGGCTTTTTTTCCTCTTGCCAGCAGTCATAATTTCCAACCAAATGACTTCGTTATTGATGAAATACAAAAATTTTGAACCCAAAGCGTTTGCCGTTAAAATTCTATGGTTTTTTCAGACGTGGCAAAAAATTCTGGATTATGATAATTTGAAACGGTAAGCGCTTATATTTTGCAAAATCAAGATTTGATGATAGACTATTTTCGAAGCTCTTAATTTCGAAAGATTTTGTAGAGTTTGATGCACTTTTGTTTTGAGCGATTTTTTGAAATTTTAGGGCTTCTAGAAAAATGATTCTAAAAAGCCTCGAAATGCTAGTTTCGAAAGAAAGGGGTGTTTGCATTAAGCAGGACCTACTCTCTCTCTAAATAATCGAATTTGTTTGAAACTCTCAAATTAAAAGTTCTGAGGATTGGCTAAACTCACTTAAGGCAGAAATGACAGGTTCAAAATTTGGGAAATTTTTTCGACAATTAAGAAGTCAACCTGGGACGTTGGCCTGGTTGCTGAAAAGAGAAAGAAAAGCTACGTTTTATACCGTTTAAGGTACTCTCCTATCACATATGATATTCTACACAATTTGCCAAAAGTTCGGGGTGCACGAAAAGTTCTCACTACTTTTGACTCAACTTTAGTTGATGGTGTTTCTTACTCGGTCTACTTTCTTTTCAAAAAAAAAAGAGGTAATCAAATATTGAATGAAAATAAGAATGGCGGGAGCACGAATGGCAGCGAAAACGATTAGACCAAAGAAGAGGCCAATATTATATTTACTACATTACGCAATGGTTGTTGATAAAATCACAGTCTGCTAAGGTATTCTCTTTCTATATGGAAGCAACAGTTTTCTAGGATCAAAGATAATTTCGAAAAATGAAGAGTAGCAGGGCAACTAATGCAAGCAATTTTAACGATTCTCTAATAATCCTGCTCGGGACTACTTATTAGGCTCATGAGTGGTGCGCAATTTCTATAGAATTGAACAAAAGAAATGACTTTTGGTTGTAGCTTCTGGACTTTTCTTCCATGGAAACAGCTTATATGAGTGTGCTGATCAGAAAGGAACCAACTGCAGTTAGAATGTTGAACGATGGTGTTGGAATTTTTGAACGATTGATTAATCGTCTTTTGTGTTGTTGTCGTTAGTGCACACTCAATTTGGTAAGTTCAGCAAGTGATTCGACAGCAGATACAGAGACCAGTGTTCGTCGGTAACAAGGTATTTGCTGACAATTTTTTTTCATTTCTTTCCGCATCAAAAACCATAAGGCAGCATGTGAAATGTGGTGATTTCAGGAAAAGCGCTCGAAAGTTTTGGAAGCCAAATTTGACAGAATTTTTATTTGTTTATTATTACAGCGTTGAAGCAAAATGAGGGCGTTTCGCAGAAATATGAAGCCACGAACTGGAAAACAGCACTTCAATCTAACCCAGCTTATATGTAAAGCTCAATATCTGTCGGTCTGTCTGAATGTATTTATATGAATGACGATCCGCGAATTTTTTTTGCGGGGTGGGGTCGGGGACCAGATACAAATTTTTTTCCTCGAATGAAGAGGCATGTTAGTCACGTCCTTCAAATGGATTTTTGGGATTTTTTTCAGATTTTAGCTGGTCTCTTCGGGAACTCGGGAGAAATTTACAACCTAATTCAGATCTTTGAACTCAAGACAAATTTTAACTACTTCCATGTGGGAGCAAGTCAGCGCAATTCAACGACTGATGTGAATACCGCTCCGCCACTTCCCGGCCTCCCCTCGCTCCTCGTCGTATAAATTTCATTTCTGTGCTGATTCGGACCATTGCACTCATACATCCCGGGCGAGGGCGGGTGTCTCAGGATACTTCTTGTTGTCGGTCGATACTAATTATTTTCTTGCAAATTATGAGATACGGATTATTGGTTGGGTACAGGGGGAAGCTGGGCATGCTGATTACAAAAGTGACATTAATTCGGAAATCTCATATCTTCGATTTCATTGATTTCTTGCACTTTGGGCTCAGGTGTGGGTGTTAACATAGGAGTAAGTAGGCATGCTGACTGCGAAAACGCGACGAGGACAGGTAGCTGGCATATGAAAAATTGGATAGGGACCGGGAAATATTGTGCGAAAGTAGAGCGGATTGGTGAGTTTCATAAGGGCCAAGGACCAAGCCGGGATAAGGGATAGGCCAGGATAAGGGATAGGCCAAGATAAGGGTCAAGCAAAGCCAGATATCTCAGCTAATGAAAGATAGAGTAGGTTTCGGAAATTTCAAATTTCCGTAGTAGTTTCCAAAGTGTTTCTTGCAGCAATTACTTGCCGTTATAGTCTCGTACTATCGACGGTTCTGATCAATGGGAAATAAGAAATGACAGTAAATAAGAGGGGGAATGCTTTCGCATGCAAAAGATCCTCATATAAAATTCATGGAAAGTAGAGGACTTGTTTTATATAGGCTATCTCCAACATTTGAGAAGGCTGCTAAATTCATGGGAATGCGTGTTAGATGTCGAATCCGGCGCTTCTGCGACTAGTGAGCAAAAGACCTATGGGAGCTTCTTCACTTTCCAAAAAGTCGTATGAGGAGCTTTTTGCGAAAGATTTCCTATTTCATTTCAGTCTTATTTTTCATTAGCTGCGGTTCCCGATCTCGCCCGGGTCGAGGATCCAAAGTGGCCCGGCAAGGGGTCTATTCCAAAATGTCTTATGCTTACCATTCCTCCATTTCCTTTAACCTGCATTTTCTCTTCATTTTTCCGCTTCAGCTCCGATGTTCGAATTGAAGCGCTCCCGTAGCATCCGTGGTAAATCGCCTTCCTTCTTGACCGGCTGCTTCTTGACACCGCATCCTCCTCACCGCAAAATGTAAATGATCTCTACCGCCCCTTACTACTTAGCTTGGAGAAATGATTGATATGGTTTCATTCTCCTAGATGTAAGTAAACAAATCAATAAATCGATAGAAGAACCCAGCGAAAAGTCGCGAAAAGTAGCCTATCTTCTGCGCCGTGTCTCATTTACAGGGTAACAGATTTCAACCTCCTTGGTTCACATACAAAGAAGTCTATAAGCCACAAACATCCTTACAAACAAAGGTACAGTTGCAATCTTCTTGTTAGTTGTTTGAGCGAAGTCCAAGATTGGTACAGAACTTTATCGCACAGAATAACAGACTAACGTTTCGGCGAACTTGCCTTCTTCAGAGTCTGAAAAGTCGAAGACACATGAGTAAACTATCCGATCAAACACCTCGTCGACTGCAGAAAGGAGCTCAACCCTCTAAGAAAAATAACAGCCTTAACCAAAACCAAGATTAAGCCAGTGCTCACCTTAACATATGAAAATTTGCTGGGTGCAGACCACTTATGTCAAAAGCTGTACTGCCTTACTTTTATAGTTAACTAATGACCTGGTTCTGATCTGACCTCATTATTCAAAAGCCACAGAGGGTACGAAACCGGGAGTACGATCGTCTCTGTACAACGTCTAATTGTGTGATTTGTCCATTCGGCAAGGAAGGAGACTGTATGATATCAGGTGTTGTCTATTTTATCACGTGTACATCATGCGGAGACACGTATATTGGCGAGACGGGTCGCCCCCTATGCACGCGCATCAAAGAACACTTAGATGGTCTCAGCAAGGGCAACGCAGCTACTCCGTTAGGCATGCATCGCAGGCTCAGCCATGAAGACGCGGAGGTGGGAGTGCAGGTTCGAATCCTGGCGCGTGAACCCGAGATCCTAGCGCGCAAGACACTCGAAGCGTTTTGGATAGCCGCCCAAAATCCAAAAATGAACCGGAAGGACGAGTGCCTAGCCATTACTAACGAGCTGTCTCCTTATCAGAGCCTCTGTGGCTTTTGAATAATGAGGTCAGGTCAGAACCGGGTCACTAGTTGACTATAAAAGTGAGGCAGTACAGCTTTTGATATAGGTGGTCTGCACCCACCAAATTTTCATCTGTTAAGGTGAGCACTGGCTTAATCTTGGTTTTGGTTAAGGTTTTGGCTGTTGTTTTTCTTAGAGGGTTGGGCTCCTTTCTGTAGTCGACGAGGTGTTTGATCGGATAGTTTACTCATGTGTCTTCGACTTTTCAGACTCTGAAAAAGGCGAGTTCGCCGAAACGTTAGTCTGTTATTCTGTGCGATAAAGCTCTGTACCAATCTTGGACTTCGCTCAAGCAACTGACAAGAAGATTGCAACTATGCCAAGATTTATGGACAGTCGAACATGGATGCTTATGAAAGGTACAGTGTTTGAGTTTTAATATATTGGGCTGGAAACTAAGTTTTGCAACTGCTTTCATAACTTCACCCTCTCTGGATATGGCGCACTCAAACTTTGGCATTATGTAGAAGGCTATGTGAGCTACAAGTGAGCACAAATTGTTTAAATTTTGAATACGAAATAGGAAAGTTTCAGGCGTTCTTCGAAAACTAGTATAATTTGAGAATTTTTGGGGTTTCAAGCTAAAATGAGGCCTTTGGCAGCCTAGACCATGCGCAGTAATCCGGATTCGTCTAAAAAATTACGTCAAATTATTGCTAAAGGTTGATTTCTTTGGCCTTTTAAGAAAGAAACAAAATTTAGGGGCAAATAGAGATTTGGCGTCCTCATAAAGTCGAACAAGTCGATGTACGCAAGAGCTGCTGGGGACGACGTCAATGACTACAGTCCGGAGCTCAAATTCCGCCGAAACTTTACATAGAAGGTTATTTGACCTGCCAAACACGAATATCACATTCATTTGTTGAGTCAACGCCTTTTTCCTTGTTTAGGGTGAGACCCCATATCGTACACCTACAGTAATCCTACAAAAAAGGTCTTGTCACGCAATTTCACTATCGTTTTCGTGATCAGCATGTCGAATAACACCTCTATGCCAAGTTTAAGCCAAATCCGTCAAACTTTGAATTTTTCCCCTTCATACCATGCACCTACCGTAACCCTCACTGCGACGTCCGAATTTGGTAGGACAGCAGCTGCTCTTGTAGCTTACGTAATAACCAAAGCAGTGGCAAAATTTGAATGCGCCATGTTGAGTGAGAGGAAAGTTGAGACCAGTTGCAAAACTTAGTTTCCAACCTAATATATAGATTTCCCATTTCCAATCCAGACGTACTCACCAGCTAGTGAGATCGTCTTCGAGGAAGTGTGAAACAGCAAGACTGGTGATCTCCACATCCAACACTTCCAGCCAACACTTCCAACACCGGCAACGCTTTCAACACTTTCAACACCAGCAACACCTCCAACACCTGCAACACTTTCAACACTTTCAGCGCCGCAACACTGGCAAACTCTGACCGATCCCAGACAAATTTAGAGTTTGATTTTTATTTATATATAGATTCATAAGTTCGCTTATCGAGGCATTGCAGTTCGTGCTATCATGGTAGACTAGTGCAGCGCAAGTGGGTTGGTTCATTGCACGGAGCGTCGCATTATCGCTTTCGAAAGCAGCACTTGCTTTTTTATTGACGCTACGCCTTCGTAAAGCGATGCGAAAAAGAGTTTCAGTTGTAGTTTCAAGATCAGCGTTCATCGCTTTACAGCAACGTATGTCTCTTTTCAAACGACTACTCCAACTAGAAAGTCAATTCTTGTTAGATACGAATTCGCTTCGCTGATTGATCGGCTTCGAAAAAAAACGGTCTAAGCGAGAATCCACTATACTTGGGTCCGAATCGAATAGAAGTTCGATCATTCGAATAAAACATTCGAATATGTTCGCATTCGAATTTCGATATTCGGAGTTTTTCCATTTTCGAATGATATTCGAAACTCGAATAGGTAATTGAGAAAACGGGGTTCCGAATAAAATTCGAAACTCGAGTAATCAAAAAACGAGGATTTTGAATGAAATTCGAAAACTCGAATAATCGAAAAACGGGGTTTCGAATAGATCTTATTCACCGAATGTTCATTCGAATTCGTATAATGAACTCCACATCCAAATTACTCGAGTTTGTTGCAGAGCCAACTGCTGAGTAACAGCTCGCTTCATCTGCGTTTTTTCCGCAAAACTCGATAATGCATCTTTTTGCATCCGTGATCACCTTTGAACTGTATGAAAAAGGAGCATTCCTCCAACTCCTTGCGACATTCAAAATTAGACACGGATTTTGATTGATTGCTTTTTTCGATTAGAGATAGTTGCACTGCTATTGGCACCTCAGCAAACAAACAGCTATCGAGTTCAAGCTCATGGTTCGAGTTTATATACTAGAAGGAAATATGTTGACAGGCCCCTTTCTCTTCCTTCGCTTGCTCATGGTTTTGGTTTTGTCCGCAAAGATCCGCACTAGTAAGCATTCTTGCTTGTAATAGCTATTATATAGTAACATAAGTCTTGAGACAATAAACTTCTTACGGCGAAAATTCATACATTTCAATTTTCAATAGGGGTTTAGGGTACCATTTGATAGAGCAAAGCAAGCTCTACAAGGTTTATAAAAGTTCGCACCAGCTTCGACCCATCGTAAGTTTGCATCCAAAATTTGAGTCGTACTGAAGGCTCAAGAAATAGGGAAAAATTCATAACTTTGTCCAAAAAGTTCTACGGTTCTCCAACCTGCTTACATAAATTGCAGACCACATCAGACCCTCATATGTTTTCCTCATTTACTAATCGAGAAAGCAAAAACTTTCATGCTTAAACAAAAACGGAGTTACGCTATTCCCACTCGTGTAGTTGTATTACTACAAGACCTCAGAAGTATAACCGTAAATTTTCAGCTTTTCACAGACGCCAGTTTCCGAATATTACCGAATTTAACTTTCCTCACTCAGGTGTTCCATGCTAAAATCAATAGTTCTCGAAAACTAGGGCTTGTGGAGCTGAAAATTTACGGTTATACTTCTAAATGATTGTAGTATACAATTACATGAGTGGAAACAGCATAGCTTCGTTTTTGTATGAATATGAAAAATTTCGTTTTCTTATTGTCTAGATGAAGAAAAAGTGCAGGAACGGTACATATGAATATCTAATGTAATTTTGCAATTTTTGTGAGCAAGTTGGAAATTCGTAGGATTTTTTGGAAGAAGATATGAATTCTTCGCGATTTTTTGAGAGTTTCGTTGCAAACTTACAGTGGGTCGAAACTGGTGCGAACTTCTGTACACCATCTTGCTTGCTTTGCTCAATCGAATGGTGCCTTGGACCCCCTTGAAAATGTGAACTGTATGACTTATCGCCGTAAGAAGTTAGAGTGTCTCAAGACTTAAGCCACAACCTAATATGTTGCGCAATTGCCTCAATTCTATTTTCAGAGATCGCGAATGAGGGGTTTATTTTATGGCTAATTATGAATAAAAATTTGCTTAATTATTTTATCGATTTTTGGAAAATTTTGAGCTACAAGGCTGGGAGTTGGTCAGGGGGAGGTAAGTGAGAGTGCTGATAATAAATAAAAATTCACTCTATTGATTTTCTCATTTGGAAAACCTTGAGCTACGGGGCTGGGACTTGGTAAGGGGGTGTGAAGGTGCCGAATGAATGAATTGGCTTTAGCCGAGTATGTCAGCAGGTTTTACATATGGTTGCTCTAGTTATTCGATAAATCATTCGAATATTTATTCGAAATTCAACTTCCCAAGTTCGAATATAATCAACATTCATTCATTCGATAATTTTGATCTTCCAATTCTATTCGGGATTCATTCATTCGAAAATTTTTGATTCTTTATCTATTCGATATTCGTTTATTCGAAATTTTGCATTTTCGAATTCATTCGAAATTCATTTATTCGATAAAAAATTTCGTATGTACCCAAGTATAGAATCCACGGTTCAAACTCTCTGCCCTGAATAACCTAATCAAATGAGTCGCCGCATGGTAAAGGCTGAGTTAGGATCACTCCTTCTCCCCCCTCCCCCCTCCCCCCCTCCCCCCCCCTCATTATGCAAAAAAACCCTATTCGCTCAGATTTGGGTTCTATCAAAAGATTTGTAAATTATGACATGTATAATGTACTCTTCAAGCGTACCAGCACAATAAGTTTAATACTGCAATACAATCACGATAGAACAATACCACAAATAAATACTAGAAGGAATTATCATAGTAGATAATTTATCTAACTAAACAGCACATTCCTTCACATTGTAAGTAGCCATCATTCCAAGAACAACCAACTTCAGAGCTTCCAGAAGGTATCTAAATGAGAAGATCAGGTTTTTCAATATGACTGAGAACCTGATGAAAAAATTGAGAATGTGAATGAAGAAATTGATTTCATTCTTTGTGGCCAGTTTTTACCTTTACTCAGTACCAATGTGAAAATTTATCAGTTGGCATATTAGATATATTCATGAAGTAATGAATCTAGCACGTCTTGGTTTATATTGAAACATATACGCACTATAGCTTAATTGAGTTCGCAGTCAACTTGCTTGCGTAATCAAGAAATTTTCCAATGTACTTTCGATAGCTTGCAGCTTCGTTTCTGAATCTATCAAGTGATCGAATCATCGCACGCAGACATTAGACGTTGTTGCGTTCTACTGTAGCTCAAATTGTAAGAGACAGCAGGTGAGGTGTGAATGTGCGCCCAATTACAAAGGCGCGAACAGCGTCAGCAGTGCGACCTTATCTCTGCGTACGATGAATCGTCTGTGATCATATATGACTGAAGAGTGCGTGAGCAAGTTGAGTAGTTAACACATTTCTTGATTGCAGAAAATTAGAAAATTAAAACAACATTATGGTGTTGCTAAAGGCTAGCCCCAAACGAACTTGAATGCCTGGTAAGCGCACCAAACGCAGTGCACAAGCTCGTCGAACTTTACTACGGCTTCGCACGCGCCCCGCACATGAGTACTCGATCGCCGCTCTCAGACCAGCTTCGCGTCCATTACTTATTCGCCTTTGTCCGCGACTAACCCATATAAATTATCCGAAAACGACGATGTCGCAAACTGACGCATAACGGTAGGCATTGACAAATCAGAAAATTATTAAATAGGATTGTTGCGCAGCGGTTTTCAACCTCGATCAAAAGGCGATGGCTGAAGTGCGCCCCTCGTTTTTGCGATAATGCGGTAGTAGATGTAATCATATCGATCGACAGTTTAGCAATTGATAAGCCAACAAGCAAAGTAAGCCATGCTATCTGCAGATTATGATTGAATGCATGAAAAACTTCGACAAAAGCGTTTAAATTTAGAGCAAGCAACTTTGTCGAAGCCTCCTATACCTGAGGCGATATGGGACAAAGCACTATAGCTATATCGACAGAGTATCTCAGAAAGAACACTACTCACCTTCAGAACTGGGAGTATTGCGCTATTTTGTACATAGAGTGGCAATGGAGGGAGCGGAGGATGGCGGCGATGATGCAGGTGCCGTAGATGTTGTTGTCATGAGTGGCGCTGAGGTGATAGTGATACTGGCGTTGGCGCAGCCGTACCGGGGAGTTGTGCTGATGGAACAGCCCAAGAAACAGGTGAGCAGCACTTTTCACAAGCGTTTTTACAGTCTTTGAGACACACACTGATGCAGACCTCGGAAGGGCATGATTTCTGGCAGTTCTGATGGCAAGACGGAAGACAGTTCGTTGTAGTGAACTGCGCAGAAGGTTGAAAGAAATGTTGCTGTTGTTCTGCTACCGATGGAATCTGTGCAGGTGCTACAGGTGACGGTGGACCTTGGAATAATACAGTTGGTGCAGGCATGGGTTGTTGTGTAGATGGTTGCACGGAATTGGGTTCTTGTGGCATTGATGCTTGGAGTACGGAGACGGGTTTTTGAACTAGTTGAGGCATGGGCGGTTGACGCACCGAAATAGGCACCTGAACTGGTGTATCCGATGGGGTGTAGCTGATGGAAGACAGTGGTTGTGGTGTCACGGGTGGCGGCGGTGGTGGTGGCAAGGAACTTGGTGCTTGTGGGATCGGTTCTGCTACAGCTGGTAGCCTTTTTGATATTGCTTCAGGTAGTTCAGGTGTTTGTGCTATGGGCTGTGGTTGTGCCAGCATCCCCTGAACCTGAGCTTGTGCTGGCGGCTGTATCACTACTGGGAACTGCTGTGGTATTTGTATTTCCGCTTGCGGTGACGGCGACATTTGTTGAGCCATGGCTGCTTCTTGTGGTAGTGGCGCCACGGGTGCTACACTTGCCAACTCCTCTGGCACCATAGCCACCTGCGGTTGCAACTGCGCTTCTCTCTGTTGAAGTGGCTGTCCCGGAATCACTTTGATTTGTAACTGTAGATGAGGCATGCCAGCAGATGCCTGCCCTAGTATACCCTGTATAGGTAATCCTATCTGCGTTGATTGAGACTGCAGTGCTGTCTGGGCTTGTAACTGACTCTCTTGAAATGATCTCTGAGTTGGGGCAACCTGTTGTAGCTCAAATGGTTGAGGTGGCACTGGTTGTGGCTGAATTGTTACCTCCGGTGCTTGTGGTATTAAAGTGGGCTGAGCGACAAATCCAGGCACAGGCTGAGCTGGTGGTTGTGCTAGAGGCGAAGGTGGAGACTGTGGAATAGGCTGCGGCTGGGGTGCATACACTTCTGGCTGAAGCTCGGGCTGTGGAATAGGTTGTGGAGCAGCTTGTGCTATGGGATTTAACGTATTGTGAGATACCGCCTGTGCCTGAGGTGGTAATGCATTTGCTTGTAGTAGTAGAGTCGGTCCCGTGAGAAGCTGTGGTGCCGGCTCCGTCGCAGGCTGCGGTACAACCTGTGATGCCGGTTGTGTTAAAGGATGTGGTATCGGCTGCGGCGCAGGCTGCGGTACAACCTGTGATGCCGGTTGTGTTAAGGGCTGTGGTATCGGCTGCGGTGCAGGCTGCGGTACAGGCTGTTGTGCCGGTTGTCTTAAAGGCTGTGGTATCGGCTGCGGCGCAGGCTGTGGTATCGGCTGCGGCGCAGGCTGCGGTACAACCTGTGATGCCGGTTGTGTTAAAGACTGTGGTATCGGCTGCGGTGCAGGCTGCGGTACAGGCTGCTGAGCCGGTTGTGTCACAGGCTGTGGCATCAGCTGTGGCTGAGACGCAGGTAAAGGATGTGCTTTTGTTGTTGGACCTGGCTCTTGCATAGACCTCACGTAAGACTGTGACGATACTGAATTCTGAGATGATTGTAGCAGTTGAGGTTGTTGCGGTAGATCTTTAGCTGGTTGAGACTGTGTTGTCTCATTGCTGGGCGAGTATAGCAAAGCCGAGTACGGTTGAGTTTCTGACTCGAGTATTGCCATCATTGGTTGGTAGTGTAGAGGAATACCGCAGCTATCAGCACAAGAACTGATACATCCTGAAAATGATAACAACACATCCAGAGAAATCGTTTTTCTCAATGCGATGGTGACCAAATTTTTCTAGAACTCGAGATAAAAATGTGCTTACAAAATTATTTTGATAATTTTACATACTTGTATAGCAATCTTGTGTAATACATCGCCGGAAACATCTTGCTGTACAGGTATCGAAACAGCTCACGGCTTTCTAAATATGCACAATATTGTTAGCAATTCATTGAAAAACATCTGCCAATCTTCGTGAAAAATATAGAAAACGTATAAACTACCTGTGGACAGCACGTGTGGAAAAACGGTGAGCAACACTGTCGTTTTGTACGCGAACTCATCCGCTAAATTCAGGTAATTCTTGTCTTTTAGACTAGAACTGACAGAAGAATATAAGTAGATTCCGAAAATTCTTACCACATTAGATGTGACTTTCTCAGCATTAGCGACTGGGAACGAATGCAATAACAATAGATACACGAATAATTCGAATGTCATTGCTTGTTCTGTTATTGGAGCGGCGAGCGGCTCGCCTTTATACCAAAGCCAAAGACAACTCTTGAAGAGGTGCTCCAAGCGAACTGGCTCTTTGCAGCAAAGAAATAAAGAAAAATCAGCTAATTTCACCAGATATTTGGTTTGTGCGGACGAATTTGTAAATTTTTGAAATGCCTTCCACGTTGGGTAACTATGTTTCGAAAAATTTGTCGGTAAAGATAAACTCGCTTAAAACAAGTAAAAGTACTTCTTCTGCAAAAAAAGGGCATCTGATCTTAACCTTCTAGCTCAGGCATCGTATTTAGACTTAGACTGTTTTCACCATAACTCAGAATGTTATGCTTCAATCAAGGAATTATCTCGTAAAACGTTTTATTTTGAACCTCTTGGCTCTGTTGCAATGTGCACAAACTGGCGCACCCTTTTCGGAGACGATATCATTCTGTTTTCGTCCCGAAGGACTCTACTCAAGCAGAAAATAATTATGCATATTTTAATTTCAATTTTATTTGGACGCTTGAAGCGGCGATTTTGAAATGAACAAATCATAGGTGAAACGAAATTATAGATGCTGAACGAACAAACAGCTCATCCATTAGTTTGATTCTGATCTCAATCACATAAGTGCAAGAGCGATAGAGAAAGCTTGCATGGACAGTATCATGATAAGCAACTGAATTTTGATATTGAAACTGTAACCCCATGGGGACTGAACCCATGCCCTCCCTCCCCCTACCCGTTGCCAGAATATACCCTTGGACATTAAACTTGAATTCATTCAAGTTCATGAGATGGGTCTGCTGGCCATATCTAGCCCGCATCTAAACTCATCTGCATTAGAGATTATAGTCTCACTTATCTCTATAAGATAATTGCCAATTCAGCCGTTCTGATTCTCGCAATCTTTTACTGAGGAGCACACAAGTCAGAGAAAGAACGAACAAACAGCTCATCCATTAGTTTGATTCTGATCTCAATCACATAAGTGCAAGAGCGATAGAGAAAGCTTGCATGGACAGTATCATAATAAGCAACTGAATTTTGATATTGAAACTCTAACCCCATGGGGACTGAACCCATCCCTCCTCTCCCCTACCCAATGCCAGCAAAACGCCCTTGGACATTGAACTTGAAAGAAATCCGGAAGATTATGAGACGGGTCTGCTGGCCATATCTAGTCCGTGTCTAACAAGGAAGTGGTCAGAAATCGAAGTTACCATTTCAGACAGGCTGAGTACCGTTAGATGCAGCATGAAGCGCTCACTCTAAATCTTTCTTCTTTACCTGCTTATCGTTTTTCCGGACGATGCTACAAGCCATTAAAGACCATTATTTTGCTAAGAAATTATGCGTGAAATTGAAAATTTAGACGTACAGAGCCACGTTCTCCTCAATGCTGGGCCAAAACATGCAGCTAGCTTACTTAAAATTTCTGAAGCCAGAAGCTGAGCTAAAAGGCAACAATGTGCTCAATTTCGCTGTGTTTTCATGTATGATTTTTTTGTATGATTTTTGTATGATTTTTTTATGACAATAAAACCGCTTGTAGCTTCGTCCACAGAAGCGGGAAGCAGATAAGGAAGACAGATTCGAAGTCAGTGTTTCATACTGCATCGAACGATATACAGCTTCTTTGATTTGGCCACTTCGACTTCTGACCATTCCCTTGTAAGCTCATCTGCGTTAGAGACCGTATGACTCTTACTTAGTCTATGAGGTCCTTCCTTTTCCTACCAATTATGCCATTGAATCATAACAAAGATACCAGTTTTTAATTGCTTAACGCTACTAACCTGGAATTTCCTCAAAGATTTCAAAGGATGAAGAAACTTGCAGATGAAGGAAATATTCATAAATTTTTGAAGATATTTCATCATAGAACTCCGTGTTTAGCAACAAGTCAGCCTTCAGATGCATTCAATGCTTGAAAAATTTATTGATGCGAATAAAGCTGGACAGATCTCATGATTAGTCGAAAATGATAAAGCATCAAACTCCATGACTGAAAAGTTTACAGGCTAGAATTCAGACATCTACTTTCATTGCAAAAGCCGTACTTTGAAAAAAAAAGTATGTGCTCAATAGAATGCGAGTTTGGCCCTTTCGCTGGATCCTCTTCTGACTTCCATAAAATCATTCAGTGGATCACGGTTTCCTCCACCGTATTCTCCCTTTCTTCCTTTTTCGATGGCCAGAGCTAGTATTTAGTCACCGTTCGCGAGAAGGTTCAGGACAGAAATGAAAGTCGATACCAAATGTCGCTTGAAATTATTTGGAAGGCTGGTTTAGAGATTCAGAAAGATAGCGAAACTTGACCACGACAAAAATCAAGGGCTGTATTGTAGGTTTTGGCCATTTTCTATGAGCTTTTGGTCGAGCTGCGACGAAAACATAAAGTATTAGGTTGGAAACTAAGTTTTGCAACTGGTCTCATAACATTCCTCTCACTCAACATGGCGCACTCAAAATTGGCCACTGCGTTGGTTATTACGTAAGCTACAAGACGCAGCTGCTGTCCTACCAATTTCTGAAGCTGCAGTGAGAATTACGGTAGGTGCATGGTATGAAGGGGAAAAATTCAAAGTTTGACTAATTTGGCTGAAACTTGGCATAGGGGTATTATTTAACATGCTGATGACGAAAACGATAGTGAAATTGCGTGACAAGACCTTTTTTGTAGGATTACTGTAGGTGTACGATATGGGGTCTCACCCTAAACAAGGAAAAAGGCGTTGGTTCAATAAATGAATGTGACACTCGCGTTTGGCAGGTGAAATAACCTTAATACGTAAAGTCTCGGCGGAATTTGAGCTTTGGACTCTTTAGTCATTGACGGTCGTCCTCAGAAGCTCTTGCGTACGTCGACTCGTTCGAATTTATGAGGACGCCATATCTCGACATGCCTTTAAATTTTGTTTCTTCCATACTAGGCCAAAGGAGTCAACCTCCAGCAACAATTTGTAGACGAATCCGGATTGCTGCGCATTGTCTAGGCTGCCAAAGGCTTCATTTTAGCTTGAAACCCTAAAAATTCTCAAATTTCACTAGTTTTCGAAACACGCTTAAAACTTTTCTATTTCGTGTTCAAAATTTAGACAATTTGGGCTCACTTGTAGCACACATTGTCTTCAGTTTGAGTGCGCCATATCTAAAGAGAGTGAAGTTATGAAACCAGTTGCAAAACTTAGTTTCCAGCCTAATAATAAGACAAGAAATCTTCTATGAGAAATTTGTTTAGATACATTCACCACAAGTTACAAAGTAAGGTTAGTTTCCCGGTGTTGAAAGACTCTTTGGGTTGTACTTGCTGTAATGATTCTAGTAAAGCAGAAGCCATGGGCGAATACTTTGCCACTGTGTCGAATCCTTTGAGTATCACCGCCTTTTCCTCCCATCTTCCTCAAAACAAATTGAATTCCGTTTATTTTCACCCTGCGGAAGTTAGAAGAGTCCTAAGGTTTCTAAAACCTTCGTGTATAGAGCCGTACGATGGCATCCCTCAGATACTCTACAAAATGTGTGCAGATACTCTCGCCACACCGCTTGCTGATATATTCAATCTTTCCTTATACTTCGGTGAGATTCCTTCTCTTTGGAAGGAAGCCATTGTTACAGTTGTGCCTAAAAACTTCCGCAGCTGAAAGCATTGCCGATTTTCGCAACATTAGCCATAACTCTGTTCCCATCAAGATTATGGAGAGAACTATCAAAAGTAAATTACTACTTTGGTTGGAGAGGTTTCATCTTGTTTCGCCCGAGCACCATGGCTTTGTGCCAGGCAAGTCACCTGCAAATAATCTTACTGAAGCTGTTTTTGATTGGAAGTTAGCCTTGAGTTTGGGGAAATCTGTGGATATTGTAACTTCGACCTTTCCAAGGCTTTTGATAGAATACCTCATCGTTTGCTTCTTTGCAAGCTAGAGAATATCGGAATTTCGGGAAACCTATTAACTTGGTTCGAGTCTTACTTGAGCAATGGATGCATGACGGTAAAGATTGATCATAAATATTCAAGAAAATTTCCCTGTCCCAGCGGAGTTCCTAAGGGAGCTGTCCTATCTCCTTTGTTATTTTTGGTAGACACTTTGGACCTACCTGATACTTTGCAAACAATGGATGTACGCGTACAAATCTATGCAGACGATACAAAGATATATGCATCCTATGATGAAGATAATTTTGACACAGTTCATGATGCATCGCAGTCGTCGATTGATAAAATGTGTGGTTGGGCTTCTCAGAATGGACTCTTTCTTAACCCAAGAAAGTGTTCCTTCCTCCATCTTGGTAAGCATTCCTCAGCTTCGTATAATATTGATGGAGTCGAGATGACTGCTTGTCAAGATGTGAAAGATCTGGGAGTCATAGTCGATTATAATTTGAAATTCTCTAAGCATATTGATTCAATTGTCAACAGGGCATATGCCACTCTATTTACAATCTTTCGTAATATACAAACTCGTAATCCAATGATACCGTCCCGATTATACAAAGCTTATGTTATTCCACATCTCGAATACTGTTCACAAGTTTGGACTCCTTCCCGAAAAAAAGATATAATGAAGATTGAGAAAGTTCAGCACACTTTTACCCGTCTGGTTTTCCGTCGTGCGAGTGGTGGAACACTAGTTGATATGCCAGACTGTCACCTACGCTATAATAAATTGGGCTTGACTTCTCTCAGAATTAGACGCATGGTATCTGACCTGGTCTTTTATTTCGTATCCCTCGCATGGAAATAAACTTAAAAGCAAGTAAATTTTGGATCTTCAAACCTGTTGGTACTAGGCTAGGTGGCTTTAATCTGCATTATAAACCTATCAAGCTACATCAGTCTGGAATATTTAGCTACATGTTCTTCCGCTGCGCAAGATGGCTTCAGCGCTTACCCGTTGATATTGTGTCAGCGCGTAGCGGTGAAGCCTTCAAGAAAAAATTAAAAAGCTGATTTGACCCAACTTTTGAGCAGTGATACTTCTTTTTGATTGCGTTGCGTTTCTAATGTCGTGTTCAGATTTTTTAGGGTTCAAGTTTCTAGGGTTTATGGTTGTTATGGTTCTATAATAATTTTGGTTCTGAGGCTTGATTTTCGTTGCACTTCGTTTTTTTTCTTTTTTTGCTTCTACTTTATTTTTCATCTCTCAAATTCCTTTTTCTAGATCCTTGCTTTTGTTCCATGTGCTTTATGCTTTTCGTTTGACGGTTCTATGGCACGCGACTGCGCCTGTCTCAGTTTTGTTTACTCTGGTCTGACTATGGTCGAAGGGATGCGAATAATTGAATGTCTTGCGTTGGATTTTAATTTATGTTGGATCAGATTCCACCAAATCATTGAACCCTGGTTCACACCATTGCCATTCGTTGTGTTGGCTTTTTTTTCAACTTTATACCTCACGCGCAGTTTGGGTCTGGCTCATCTCATCACTTCCATTGATGCTTGGGTTAGCTTGTTTGGGCTTGAAACTTCTGTTCTCTCCCCCAGAGTTTGGTTGGGCGGGTTTTACCAATATTGCTATCAATACACCTGCTTCCAACATATACATTTGCTTATGTTTGAATAAGAGCATTTGGTAAGAGCAGGGGGCATGAGACAGACTCCATCGAACCTCTATATCTGTGATGACTTCATATTGGTCTAGACAAGCTCACTCCCTTTCTATCCTTAGAAAAGATTTGTGGGCTGGACCTGAGCTGATTCAGTGGGGTGTTTGCCTGTTTTTGTTCTTTTTTTGTTGCTAATTGTTTAGTGTGATGCTTCGTTCTGTGTATTGGACAGGCCTTGTGCGTATCAAATAATTAAATAAATAAAATGAGAAGCTGCATCGAATGCGGCCAAAATCTTTTATAAATCGTGTACACAAAATGTTTTCAAAAGCAGCTTCCAAAAGGAGCTTTGTCTTTCATTTGCTTGTTTGAAAGTTAGTTCAGAATCAATCAAATAAACATGCTGCTGCGTCATCAGAGAAAGGCATCTACATATTCTCGAAATATTATTTAAAACAAGCCATCTTATATATAAAGCTAAATGTCCGTTTGTCTGTTTGTATGTATGTCTGTCTGGTATGTTCCGAATAGAAAATTCCATTTTGAAACCAATCCGGACCAAACTTGGCACACACATACACTTCGGGGGAGGGCTGGTGTCATAGGCCACTTCTCGTTTTCGATAAAGACTTTATGAAGGTTTGACTTTATGAAGGTTTTACATTTCAAGTATAAAATTACTAATTTTAGTATTTTCATTCTTACAAAAGAGATCATCCTGTCAAGAAGATCCGTATAATGAAGCTATTATAGTTTATACAATTGTAATAATTTTTCACTTTCTCTCCTACAGTTTCTGAAAGGGTGAGAAAACTTACCTACCCAGAAGACTTGCCGCAACGTACTTTCGGTATCATGAGTTGTCAGCACCGTATGCAGGTTGATCTGTTTGGAGTCATTTTCACTTCTAGAGTATTGGTTTTGTTTTTTGTTTGTTAAATTGAAAATTTTGGAATGTAATAGTTGGAATTCGGATTCAGCCAGTTTTCTCAATCGAAGCAGATTTTTTCGCTTCTTTTCTCTTCCCAAATTCACAATAAAGTCTATTGTAAGAAACACATCAAAAACAGGGCTGCTATCTTCGCGCGAACATCCCAAAAACCCTAAGTTAGCAACTTTCACTTCGATCGGGCATATATAGATATACCAGTGGCATACCCAGGATTTCGGCTCGGGGGGGGGGGCGACAAAAATTTTTTTCTAGTGAAGGTGCGTGGCGTTAGCCACGCACTAATAAAAATTTTGTATGTTTTCGAAAATTTTCGCGGGCTCATAACCCCAAAGTTTCAGACAAGTCCTTCACATATTTTTATAACAATTTGAGTAACTTTCAGAAATTTCGCGATGCCATTCTCGGGGGGGGGGGGCGCCCCCCCTCAATACGCCACTGATAGATACTGAAGTTTCAGTTCAAAATCACAGTTCGATTCCGGGTTCATGCGTTGCTGGATGGGAACGGAGCTTATTGTGTGTAGAGATCGATTCTGCATACGGTGCTAATTAGCGTTGCCTATACCTCACGACCCTTGCGGCAAGTCTTTCGGTAGGTGAGTTCCGTTCCTCATTCTGAAACCACAGTGAACGCACGATTAGCTTGGCAAAATGACTATAACTCAAATCCATGCATTCTATGTAAATCCATGCCAGTTCCATACAGGACCCAGCACAAGTAGTGCTAATGGACATCGATAAAACGGCTTCGCCTTTTCCACTATTGATTTTTACGATTTCTAACTTGATCCCCCAGCTGCGTAGGCTGTTCGGAGCGCGCTTTATTCCTCAAAACGACCGGAGTCGCTGCTACTTCTAATCCTTACAAGAGGAAAGGAGAAGATTTGGAACCATAATGTTACTATATACTAAAGTTTAGGTGTAGAACAGATTGAGGTGAAAAGTTTTGTGAAGTGGAGGTTTTGCTCACCTCTCAAGTGGGCATAGGGTGGGCAATTGCACATCTAATTTGGGAAAAATCAAGCACGCTCTTTACTCACATAAGTTTTTCATAATTCTTCTTTGTTCCTTAGCCCTACTGCGCATGTACACACCAAATCTCGTGCCATATTGTCATCTATGCATAACAAGCGACCACTTCATAAATTTTGTGAGAGTGGAAACTTTTTAGAAAAAGGTTTGTCATTTCCCTCCGTTTCCTCCTAGTCCATGCCCGTTTATACTCCAAATCCTCAGTCATATCGTAATGTGTGCATTGTAACAGACGCATTTAGGGCCGCATGCATTAACCTCCCCGCGGGGAGGGGATCGCAGCTTGAAAGAATTATATTTCGAAACTCCAGAAACCCGGATTTCACGTTGTGTACCTATCCAGAAGTATTCCCACTACCCTTCACTATGAACATGTTGAACAGGAGCGAGAAGCTGTACGAACCGCATCTTCCAGCTTTTGTATGATCCCTGATGATCCCCGGCGCTTTTCTTTAAAGTCAATTTTCTTTCTTCGAAGTTGACGAATAACCTCCAAAGTTGTGCAGATTATCTACCTCGACAGTGCTAAGCATGTTGCTGATAAGAACAATTGAGTTTTTGAAAAGTCGAATTTTTCGGCAAACCTCAAATTTCGACCTGTGGATCATCAAAAATTTCATGACTTCAAAAATCATTTGTTCTTATCAGCAACATGCTTAGCACTGTCGAGGTAGATAATCTGTACAACTTTGGAGGTTATTCGTCAACTTCGGAGAAAGAAAAATGACTTAAAAAAAGCGCCGGGGATCATCAGGGATCATACAAAAGCTGGAAAATGCGGTTCGTACAGCTTCTCGCTCCTCTTCAACATGTTCATAGTGAAGGGTAGTAGGAATACTTACGGATAGGTACACAACGTGAAATCCGGGTATTTGGAGTTTCGAAATATAAAGCTTTCTTTTGAGCTGCGATCCCCTCCCCGCGGGGAGGTTAGTGCATGCGGCCCTTAATTACAGCTCAATGGAAAAAATTTAGGTTTCCTTTGCTCTCCATCCAAAGCGATTTCCACTTGACATCTGACCACCTCAATTATTTTATCGATTTTTGGAATATTGGTATGTGTGAAGGTGCCGATTATGAATGAATTGGCTTTAGCCGAGTATGGCAGCAGGTTTTACATATGGTTGCTTTAGTTATTCGATAAATCATTCAAATATTTATTCGAAATTCGACCTCCCACGTTCGTATAATCAATCGTCATTCATTCGATAATTTTGATTTTCCATTTTTATTCGGAATTCATTCATTCGAAAATTTTTGATTCTTTATCTATTCGATATTCGTTTATTCGAAATTTTGCATTTTCGAATTCATTCGAAATTCATTTATTCGATAAAAAATTTCGTATTTACCCAAGTATAGAATCCACGGTTCAAACTCTCTGCCCTGAATAACCTAATCAAATGAGTCGCTGCATGGTAAAGGCTGAGTTAGGATCACTCCTTCTCTCCCCTCCCCCTCCCCCCCCCTCATTATGCACAAAAAACCCTATTCGCTCAGATTTGGGTTCTATCAAAAGATTTGTAAATTATGATATGTATAATGTACTCTTCAAGCGTACCAGCACAATAAGTTTAATACTGCAATACAATCACGATATAACAATACCACAAATAAATACCAGAAGGAATTATCATAGTAGATAATTTATCTAACTAAACATCACATTCCTTCACATTGTAAGTAGCCATCATTGCACGAACAACCAACTTCAGAGCTTCCACAAGGTATCTAAATGAGAAGATCAGGTTTTTCAATATGACTGAGAACCTGATGAAAAAATTGAGAATGTGAATGAAGAAATTGATTTCATTCTTTGTGGCCAGTTTTTACCTTTACTCAGTACCAATGTGAAAATCTATCGGTTGGCACATCTTATATATAAAGCTGAATGTCTGTTTGTATGTATGTCTGTATGTCTGTCTGTATGTCTGTGTGTACGTATGTTCCGAATAGAAAATTCCATTTCTGAACCGATCCGGACCAAACTTGGCACACATACGCTACGGGCCCCGGCGGGTGTCATAGGCTACTTTTCGTCATCGATCGATGTCGATTTTATCGATTTTTATCGATTTTTTTGCCGAGTTCACCTACGGGGCTGGGAGTTGGCACAGGGGGGGGGGTAATCGAGCATGCAGATTACGAATACAATATTAGTTTTCAAGATCGTCCATTACTTTTATCGATTTTATCGATTTTTTGAAAATTTGAGCTAGGGGGCTGGGAGTTGGCACAGGGGGGTAATCGAAAATCGATAAAATCGATAAAAGTAATCGATAATCCTGAAAACCAATATTGTATTCGGAATCCCCATGCTCACTTCCCCCCCCCCCCCCTGTGCCAACTCCTAGCCCTGTAGGTGAACTCTGCAAAAAAATCGATAAAAATCGGTAAAATCGACATCGATCGATAACGAAAAGTGGACTGTGACACCCGCCGGGGCCCGAAGTGTATGTGTGCCAAGTTTGGTCCGGATACGGCGGAGCCGGGTAAGCCAGCTAGTTAGATATATTTATGAAGCAATGGATCTAGCACGTCTTGGTTTATATTGAAACATATACGCACTATAGCTAAATTGAGTTCGCAGTCACCTTGCTTGCGTAATCAAGACATTTTACAATGTGCTTCCGATAGCTTGCAGCTTCGTTTCTGAATCTATCAAGTGATCGAATCATCGCACGCAGACATTAGACGTTGTTGCGTTCTACTGTAGCTCAAATTGTAAGAGACAGCAGGTGAGGTGTGAATGTGCGCCCAATTACAAAGGCGCGAACAGCGTCAGCAGTGCGACCTTATCTCTGCGTGCGATGAATCCATCTGTGGTCATATATGACTGAATAGTGCATGAGCAAATTGAGTAGCTAACACATTTCTTGACTGCAGAAAATTAGAAAATCAAAACAACATTATGGTGTTGCTAAAGGCTAGCCCCAAACGAACTTGAATGCCAGTTAAGCGCACCAAACGCAGCGCACAAGCTCGTCGATCTTTACTTCGGCTTCGCACGCGCCCCGCACATGAGTGCTCGATCGCCGCTCTCGGACCAGCTTCGCGTCCATTACTTATTCGCCTTTGTCCGCGACTAACCCATATAAATTATCCGAAAACGACGATGTCGCAAACTGACGCATAACGGTAGGCATTGACAAATCAGAAAATTATTAAATAGAATTGTTGCGCAGTTGTTTTCAACCTCGATCAGAAGGCGATGGCTGAGGTGCGCCCCTCGATTTTGCGATAATGGGTAGTAGATGTAATCATATCGATCGACAGTTTAGCAATTGATAAGCCAACAAGCAAAGTAAGCCATGCTATCTGCAGATTTTGATTGAATGCATGAAAAACTTCGACAAAAGCGTTTAAATTTAGAGCAAGCAACTTTATGAAGCCCCCTATACCTGAGGCGATATGGGACAAAGCACTATAGCTATATCGACAGATTATCTCAGAAAGAACACTACTCACCTTCAGAACTGGGAGTATTGCGCTATTTTGTACATGGAGTGGCAATGGATGGAGCGGAGGATGGCGGCGATGGTGCAGGTGCCGTAGATGTTGTTGTCATGAGTGGCGCTGAGGTGATAGTGATACTGGCGTTGGCGCAGCCGTACCGGGGAGTTGTGCTGATGGAACAGCCCAAGAAACAGGTGAGCAGCACTTTTCACAAGCGTTTTTACAGTCTTTGAGACACACACTGATGCAGACCTCGGAAGGGCATGATTTCTGGCAGTTCTGATGGCAAGACGGAAGACAGTTCGTTGTAGTGAACTGCGCAGAAGGTTGAAAGAAATGTTGCTGTTGTTCTGCTACCGATGGAATCTGTGCAGGTGCTACAGGTGACGGTGGACCTTGGAATAATACAGTTGGTGCAGGCATGGGTTGTTGTGTAGATGGTTGCACGGAATTGGGTGCTTGTGGCATTGATGCTTGGAGTACGGAGACGGGTTTTTGAACTAGTTGAGGCATGGGTGGTTGACGCACCGAAATAGGCACCTGAACTGGTGTATACGATGGGGTGTAGCTGATGGAAGACAGTGGTTGTGGTGTCACGGGTGGCGGCGGTGGTGGTGGCAAGGAACTTGGTGCTTGTGGGATCGGTTCTGCTACAGCTGGTAGCCTTTTTGATATTGCTTCAGGTAGTTCAGGTGTTTGTGCTATGGGCTGTGGTTGTGCCAGCATCCCCTGAACCTGAGCTTGTGCTGGCGGCTGTATCACTACTGGGAACTGCTGTGGTATTTGTATTTCCGCTTGCGGTGACGGCGACATTTGTTGAGCCATGGCTGCTTCTTGTGGTAGTGGCGCCATGGGTGCTACACTTGCCAACTCCTCTGGCACCATAGCCACCTGCGGTTGCAACTGCGCTTCTGTCTGTTGAAGTGGCTGTCCCGGAATCACTTTGATTTGTAACTGTAGATGAGGCATGCCAGCAGATTTCTGCCCTAGTATACCCTGTATAGGTAATTCTATCTGCGTTGATTGAGACTGCAGTGCTGTCTGGGCATGTAACTGACTCTCTTGAAATGATCTCTGAGTTGGGGCAACCTGTTGTAGCTCAAATGGTTGAGGTGGCACTGGTTGTGGCTGAATTGTTACCTCCGGTGCTTGTGGTATTAAAGTGGGCTGAGCGACAAATCCAGGCACAGGCTGAGCTGGTGGTTGTGCTAGAGGCGAAGGTGGAGACTGTGGAATAGGCTGCGGCTGGGGTGCATACACTTCTGGCTGAAGCTCGGGCTGTGGAATAGGTTGTGGAGCAGCTTGTGCTATGGGATTTAACGTATTGTGAGATACCGCCTGTGCCTGAGGTGGTAATGCATTTGCTTGTAGTAGTAGAGTCGGTCCCGTGAGAAGCTTTGGTGCCGGCTCCGTCGCAGGCTGCGGTACAACCTGTGATGCCGGTTGTATCAAAGGCTGTGGTATCGGCTGCGGCGCAGGCTGCGGTACAGGCTGTTGTGCCGGTTGTGTTAAGGGCTGTGGTATCGGCTGCGGTGCAGGCTGCGGTACAGGCTGCTGAACCGGTTGTGTCACAGGCTGTGGCATCAGCTGTGGCTGAGACGCAGGTAAAGGATGTGCTTTTGGTGTTGGACCTGGCTCTTGCATAGACCTCACGTAAGACTGTGACGATACTGAATTCTGAGGTGATTGTAGCAGTTGAGGTTGTTGCGTTAGATCTTTAGCTGGTTGAGACTGTGTTGTCTCATTGCTGGGCGAGTATAGCAAAGCCGAGTACGGTTGAGTTTCTGACTCGAGTATTGCCATCATTGGTTGGTAGTGTAGAGGAATACCGCAGCTATCAGCACAAGAACTGATACATCCTAAAAATGATAACAACACATCCAGAGAAATCGTTTTTCTCAATGCGATGGTGACCAAATTTTTCTAGAGCTCGAGATAAAAATGTGCTCACAAAGTTATTTTGATAATTTTACATACTTGTATAGCAATCTTGTGTAATACATCGCCGGAAACATCTTGCTGTACAGGTATCGAAACAGCTCACGGTTTTCTAAATATGCAAATATTGTTAGCAATTCATTGAAAAACATCTCCCAATCCTCGTGAAATATATAGAAAACGTATAAACTACCTGTGGACAGCACGTGTGGAAAAACGGTGAGCAACACTGTCGTTTTGTACGCGAACTCATCCGCTAAATTCAGGTAATTCTTGTCTTTTAGACTAGAACTGACAGAAGAATATAAGTAGATTCCGAAAATTCTTACCACATTAGATGTGACTTTCTCAGCATTAGCGACTGGGAACGAATGCAATAACAATAGATACACGAATAATTCGAATGTCATTGCTTGTTCTGTTATTGGAGCGGCGAGCGGCTCGCCTTTATACCAAAGCCAAAGACAACTCTTGAAGAGGTGCTCCAAGCGAACTGGCTCTTTGCAGCAAAGAAATGAAGAAAAATCAGCTAATTTCACCAGATATTTGGTTTGTGCGGACGAATTTGTATAATAAATTTTTGAAATGCCTTCCACGTTGGGTAACTATGTTTCGAAAAATTTGTCGGTAAAGATAAACTCGCTTAAAACAAGTACAAGTACTTCTTCTGCAAAAAAAGGAGCATCTGATCTTAACCTTCTAGCTCAGGCATCGTATTTAGACTTAGACTGTTTTCACCATAACTCAGAATGTTATGCTTCAATCAAGGAATTATCTCGTAAAACGTTTTATTTTCAACCTCTTGGCTCTGTTGCAATGTGCACAAACTGGCGCACCCTTTTCGGAGACGATATCATTCTGTTTTCGTCCCGAAGGACTCTACTCAAGCAGAAAATAATTATGCATACTTTAATTTCAATTTTATTTAATCGCTTGAAGCGGCGATCCTTGAAATGAACAAATCATAGGTGAAACGAAATTATAGATGCTGAACGAATAAACAGCTCTCCTTCAGTTTGATTCTGATCTCAATCACATAAGTGCAAGAGCGATAGAGAAAGCTTGCATGGACAGTATCATGATAAGCAACTGAATTTTGATATTGAAACTGTAACCCCATGGGGACTGAACCCATGCCCTCCCTCCCCCTACCCGTTGCCAGAATATACCCTTGGACATTAAACTTAAATTCATTCAAGTTCATGAGATGGGTCTGCTGGCCATATCTAGCCCGCATCTAAACTCATCTGCATTAGAGATTATAGTCTCACTTAGTCTCTATAAGATAATTGCCAATTCAGCGTTCTGATTCTCGAAATCTTTTACTGAGGAGCACACAAGTCAGAGAAAGAATTTTAGAGACGACTTTGGCCATACCTGCAAGCTCTTCTTCCTTTGCCTACCAATTATGCCGTTGAAAATTTTTAACAAATATACCAGTTTTTAATTGCTCAACCAACTGCACCTGCATTGTCGTCAAAGATTTCATAAAGATGAAGAAACTTGCGGGTAGAGCAAATATGTATAGATTTTTGAAGTTTCAACAAAAAACTCCGTTTTTAGCAACAAGTCAGCTTTCAAATGTATTCGAAGCATAGAAAGTGTACTGGTGCGAATAAAGTTTGACAAATCGCATGATAGAGTTCAAAAATGATATAGCATCAAACGCCATCAATAAAAATTCAACAGGCTATTCAGACATCTACTTTTCATTCATTACCAAATGTCGTACATTGAAGAAAAAATAGTTGCAAAATCGCTTAGAGCTGATGTAAAAAAACATGTGTAAAGATTCCTGTCCTATATGCTTCCCATTCTGCTCGTTTTTAATCATTTTCGACGGTTGATTACAATAAAAAAGTTGCGGTGGTCTTCATAAAGCATTATTGAGAGTGGAGTTATACTACTTATTTCAGTATAGTATAGCTGGCAAAGGTTCATCACTTCTTCTTTTCAATAGGTGCTTAATAGATTGCGACTTTGGCTACTTCGCTGGATCCTCTTCTGACTTTCGTAAAATCATTTAGTGGGTTAGCCACGGCTTTTTCCACCGTATCCTCTCATTATTCCATACTTGGTCCTTGAATTGCCAGAGCTAGCAACACCGTTTGCGGGAAGGTTCAAGACAGAGATGAAGATTGACATCAAACGTCGCTTGAAATTCTTCGTAAGGCTAGTTTACAAATTCGAAAAAAACAAGCGAAACTTGACTATGACAAAAATTAAGGGTTGTATTCTTTGGTAATTTCCTATGAGCTTGTTGGTCGAACTGCAACGAAAACATAACAAGTGGTAAGAAAATAAGAAAGCATCGAATGCGGCCAAAATCTCTGACAAATTTTGTCTACAAGATGTGACACTTATGAAGCGAAATTATATTGAGAATGCCATACAAGATGCAGTTTCAACTTTTTATATTTATGGTATTTTTGTCTGCATATTTGACTAGCTTGCGGTTAACAATCACTACATAACACTTCACAAGCGCTTCCAAAAGAAGCTTTGTCTTTGCTTGTTTGGAAGTTAGTTAAAAAATCAATAAATCAATCAATCACACAATCTGCAAATCATTATTAGAAGGCGTCTATTCTCGGAACAAATCCAAGAATTCAAGCAGTTCCCATAACGACTTCATGACTCACCTCCCAGGTCTAAGAAGACTAATTTTAAGTATTTTGATTCTTGCAAAAGAAGGAAGATACGTATAATCAGGCTAGTTTTTATATTCGTAGAGATTTTCAACTTTCTCTTGTTCAGTTTCTGAAACGACAGTGAACTCAACGAGTGCAAAATGACTACAAGTCATGCAAATCCAAAACAGTTCTATACAGGGAGCATAAGTGGTGCATGAACATCGATGAAACGATTTTGCTTTTCCCACTATCGATTCTTACTGCGGAGGCTGTTCGATTGGAGCACGCTTTCTTCATCGAATGGACAGGCGTCGTTGTATTCCGGATCCTAACAAGGAGGAGAGGTGCGGTTCTGGACCCAGAGTGTTATTACTGTGCACTAAACTTCAAATGCAGAACAGATTTATGTAATTTGAATAATTTATATGAGCTGGAAGTTTTGCCTACCTGAGAAGGGCATTAGGTGGGCAATGCTCACCTAATTTGGAAAAAGTTAAGCACGCTCTCTACTCCACATAATTTTCTCATAATCCTTCATACTTTGTTCCTTAGCCCTGCTGCGCATGTACACGCCAAATTTCGTGCCATATTGTCATTTTTGCATAACAAACGAGCCAGTTCATCATTTTGTGAGAGTGGGAAATTTTCAAAAAAAGGCTTGCTATTACCTTCAGCCTTCTTCAGTCCATGCCCGTTTATACTCCAAATTCAGTCATATCGTGATGTGTGCGCTGTAACAGACGCATTTAATTACAACTCAATGTAAAAAAATTCGGATTTTTGAAGATACGTGTGAGCAAGATCGTGTCAATCGTGCAGCAACTTCGAGGAAGTCATGCACATGTAAACATAGTTTACGAAATCTCCTTTGCTTTCCATCCAAAACGATTTGCAGCTTGACATCTGCCCACCCCACGATGATTTTTGCAAGCTAAGATTCTCGTAACGTTCTCCTGGGCGTTTGAATGATTTCGGCACCGTATGCTAAACTATACTCTCCACATGCGCGCATCTATGAAGGTGGATAGCTGTTGCTTCTAGCGGACGGGATTACACGGGCATTGTAAGCATATAATCAAATTTATACCCCAATTATTATATAGAAAATTCAACCAAGAATTCGCATGACTGTATTTTCAACGCATAATTAAATTCTCCTCCTAGACGTAGGTGCAGAAACAATGGTGTTTTCAAGCCCTTTTCATTCCAACCTTCTCTTACTCATCTTCACTCTCGAAAACATATCCTTTTGCAACAAGTCTTTCAACTTCGATCATTCACAGACAAGTTATGCGGCATGCCTCCCTTCAGATAAATGCCGGCCCATGCAATAAGGAAAAAAAGCTTTTCTCACCAAGAAAAAAAGTTTTGATTTTATTAGCTTGCAAAAGAGGCATGCATTAAATGGTTCAGTTTTGAGTTAGTAGATGAAACTGAAAGACTTGCATCACACATAAAGATTGTGAAAGAGAATAAGATATTGCTGAATTGATGGAGTCAGGTGAACCGGTGAGAGAGCAAAAAATGCCGGAAGCACTGCCACAAAACTTTTCGCGCAAAACTGATTTAGCGCTATTTTACTATTGGGGATTTATTGGGTGATAGACATTTCTCTTCCGTCATATGCAATATTATTTTGTGCTAATTGCTTTGGTTTCCCAAAGTAAAAAAAATCAAAGTCTTTGAAAAATAAAACGTTGAATAGAGATTGCTAGCAAAAATGTTTCATTCGTTATCTTTTCGTTAACTCACCTGCATATCCGTTTTTCGCAACAAAATTGCAAAAACCAACGACTCAATATAGTGAACAATCTCTAAACGGTCGTCATTTTTGTATTCATTATGTCTTCTTCCGTTTATACCGAGAAGGGAACGTAACATTCGATACAGCATACATCGTCGACTTCAGATCTGTTTTCCGTTTCTGCTAACTTTGCAAGCGAAGTTATGAGCAGTTATGATGCTAAAATATCGTAGGTAAAAATTGCGAAATTGAACACATTTGCCCGTAGTAAACCCCACTTCACTTCAGATGATTTCAACTGAGGGGCTGAGCTGAGGTATTTAAGATAAACTGACTAGCGGTCACTCTCACATGCTTAAAAATGCGACAAATCTGAAGGGTTAGCGTCAGGGCATGTGCCGCGATGAATTCACCTGAAATCCGTAAGAGCAGCCCCGATTTTGAGATGAATTGACCAAAATAGTGTGCAAGGGATAAGACGCAGAGAAAAATCCCGTAAGTTGCTTGTGAGTAAATAACTTACGGGACATCGTACTTGACGTATTGTTGCGGTACAAGAACGCGCAAAACTGCACAATACCGGTGCCCAAAAAGGAAAGGAGCAATGAACAGCTGATTTCGGCAAAAAACATAAGAATAGGTTTTTTCCTTTTTGCAGAGTTTGCATAGGTTTTTTCTGCAAAAGCTACTCAGAGCGACAATCTCTTTATTTGTTTCTATTCGATTTTGTCCCTACTTCCCCAATTTTTGATGAAATTTTGGTTAAAAAAACGCAGTTTTGTTTTGTGCATTCATTTGGTTTGTGGATTCCTTGATAGCGGCCGCATCGATTTTCTTCGTTAGTGGCCGCTATCAAAGATGCTCAGTGACGCGCCAATATTCGCCACTGTCCGGCGCCAAACCACGGTCGTGCGGGCTGAGTACCAGTCACATACCTGTTTGACCAAACCTGCACAAAAGGTGTAGGTGTTTTCTCTTTGATAGCGCGCAAGAATTTTATGCCTGAAAAGCGATCCGCATCTAGATCAATAGCTTGCGGGATGCTAGACCGAGGTGCCATACGATCAACTCAGATCCGTCTCAGGGCAGATCCCCTGAAGGGAAGGGGGGGGGGGGGTTTACTACGGGCCATTTTGTCCTTTTTAGCTAACCTTTAGGTAGAGGCTACATGATGTAACCTAGCTGCATGTTTTGGCCAGCATCAAGCCGAACATGGATCTACAGCCTTGCACTTTTCACGCGCAATTTCTTAGCACAATTTGACATTCAAATTTTTATAATTTCTTCTACAAAGACGTTCAGCAGATAAGAAAGACGAATATACGGTCAGCATTCAAGCCGCATCCAGTGGCTTACGACTTTTTTGGATTGGCCGCTTCGATTTTTGACCATTTCCTTGTATGCTCTTCAACCCAAACTATAAGAATGTTGATAAAGACGAAAACAGTGGGAAACAAGTGGCGTAATGGTAGGAGCCGCTATGATCACTTCGGATCTGGGCTCACTTCTACCTCTTGGCCAACCAAGCCCTCTACCCTCCTTGTATGGTAATCTTGTACCAGAGGTATGGGAGGACAGAAGCAGTGACTTGGCCACCACTGAGCTCTACCCTACCGCAAAGGATTGTACCTCTTTGATTGCCTCTTCGAATATGAAGAATCGTTTCTTACATTTTCCTTCTCGAACTCGAGAATCTGTGTCAAATCTGTCTTCCTAGGACTAAGGGATGGCTCAAACAACTGCTGCGATATTCCTTTGCTGATCGTGCTTGTCGCTTGGTAAATTGCTGTCCGCCGAGATAGGTCAAACGATTCAACCAAACTCGAAAACTTTCTGCTTACATGATCTTCTGCGAATGTTGAATTTAGAGGATACGCCGTGGTTGCTCTCAAACCAGATCTATCGAGTTCGTGCCTGCCTACAATGAGATGTTTTTTGGTTGTTTTTTTTAGTTTATAGATCACTAATCAGCTCTTACTATAGTGTAAGTACCCCATTTGCAGTTTCTAAGCTTTTGCATAGGGTCGCGCTCTACTGGTAAGCCTCGTTCGACGGGGGTTCACTCGTTATACCTGTTATTCAGGAAGCTGCAGGCATGCCATCTGGTGTTAGGGTGCATATATCCTGCACACTTGCCTGACTGGCGTGTAATTATTATCCTCGTCCAATAAAGGGAGTACCATTGCTTCAGTTTCAGCTGTTTTTTTTTTTTGAAGTTATTTCAGAAAGATCGTATTTTGAGAGGTAGACCGAGTGTCTCATTTTCGGTGATGATACTAAAACTCACTTTTCGGTTCGTTGAATTAAACCTTCTAACTTTCAATTGATCATTATAGCACGCTCTATGTGCACAAAAAATAAAAATTTTTGCAGTTGGTGTGAAGATTGAAGATGTATATGGTGGACTACTTTGTAAAAGAAAATGTGGACTTTTGAGAGCCAAATCTGATCAAGCAATAGTGACATAAAGTAAATTAGCATTTTCAAACCACTTAGCCTTTGGCGAATGCATTTTTTCCTTGCAGTGTTTTCAACAAATTGTGAACTACGCTCCCCAAGCTGAATTTTGAAAGATACTATCTGTGAAATTTCCAACTCTCATTTTCAATAGCGTATCGCTTCTAATGTAAATTTCTTTACAGCTCGTTAGTTCGTCTCGTTTCCTTTCTATAGTACTAGAGATCACAGGTTTTAGTCATCACAAGAGTTTTCAGCTTGTGGCAATATTTCCAGGACAATCAAGAAATGTTACCAAATATTTCCGCATGTCTTTTCTCTGAAAGAAGCATCGGTAGAACAATGCTCGAACTTATCCATGACTCTCTTGCCATCCCTACTATGTTTTTGTATGTGTTCACAATGGTTCTCATGTGGAAAAAGGAGGTAACCATACTTTTCATATATATGCCATGCAAAAGGGTAATTGGCACTATCGCAGCTAACTCATGATTTATGTATCGTAGTTGGCTGTCATCGTTGATTCAGTACTGTCATGGATCTCATGCGAATCGCTATGAAGAGAATGGTATATTTTTACGTGAAAAAGCATTCGTGCAAGTTTGTCGAATGAATGAGTTAGAGAGCCATTGTTTGGGACCGGTCTGAGACGTCTTTTCTGCTAAGTTGTCTGGCAATCTCTGCAATAAATATCACTTTACAAAAGACCAAAAATAACCGAATAGATAAATGATAATCTGGAAACCTAAAGGGTTAGCTGAATAAGCGTTATGGCTAAATTGACTGCAACGTTCTCCAAAGACTGTGACCATGATGTTTTCGTAAAATACAGATGCAAATATGGCAACGGTAGATTTTTACGTGACTCGATTTTGAAAAAAAGATTGAAACGAACACTGAATAAACTATAGTAAATGTGGTGATCAAGACCTGGGGAGATTAAGTTGAAGTGACTGATAGAATATGGTTGCGTCATATTGCTGAGAAATCCTTGAACGCTGGAACATTTCGTTCTGAAACGGAAACACAGGCAACCGACTGCGCATACACATCTGCAGGTCTAGAGTTACCATCCTCACAACCTCTTTCCAGAAAATCCAAGCTTTTTATAATTTACCATGCTGTAAAAGTGTCTTCTGCTCGAACGTGAACCTCTGCAAGTAGTAACCGTTCTAAGTTCTAAAATGACTGCTCAATTAGGATTTAAGCTTTCAAAATTTCAAGATACGACAAGCAAACGCACTGACGAATAGCTTTGGCAACACATGTGATTTGATGGCAATATCAATGAAATTGCAGGCTCCTGCTAAAGTTTGGCATGCAGTAGCCTTTTCTTGAAAGTAGACAGCTGACTTGAACAATAACAACGGGCTTTATGCAACTTGATTGAAAGACTGGGTGATACTGTGTGTCTCGAAATTGCATGGAGTGTGATTGTTAGTCTGTATTGGAAGAGTTGGAATGTATTCGAATACTCTAGCATGTAAACCAATATAGAACAAAATCTAGCAATGGTAACTGAAAACAGAATTGGCACTTGAAGTGGGAATTTTGTACCACTGCTTCTTTCAGGTCTATACCACAAATCTTCGCCTGCTGCTAACCGTACTTCCGTTATGCGCTATTGTGAACACCGTCGGCCTTACTTTGATGGAATTTTTCACATACATTCGTGCTATGGTCCCGACATGTGCAGTTGTCTCTGCTAAAAAACTTGCTAATGCTAGTAAGTTGATTTCGAAACTAAACTTTGGCTTATAATGCAGCATTACTTTTGCTTCACAAGATTTTCGAGTATCCACCAACAATGTTGAAGAACCCATGCAAGAGAATTTCTTCTACGGTCAATTTATCGAAACTTAGAGGAGTAATTGCCGGGTTCTGTACTTTCTGTTCGAAGACGGCATCTATAAAGTGTCTGAGGTCCGGCCCCGGTGAAAAGCGAAGTTGTTCAGCAAAAGCTGATCAATATAGCAAACGCAAAAGAGTCTGTTGGAAAAAATGTGGTAAAAATATTACAATAAGCTGAATCCTTGTTTTGGCGATATTTAATTCGCAAACTTTTCAGAAGCGCCACATCAAAACTTGGGAAATCATGATAAAAATAACTATCTTTTGCGATCGGCTCAAAATAATCCCGGTTTGGATCTGGTTGATGCTAGCAAGAAAAAGGTAAACAGAAAATTGGTTATCAAATTGAGAGTTTTTCCCAAAGTCGGAATGCACGTAAATGCAACAGGTTTTGATGCATATTTCGTATAAATATCCTCGTCTCGTCGACGCTTCTGTCTTAGACGACATTGTTTGCCTTGCTCTCATATCATTCTAAGCAAGAATGCACTGGCATAAACATGTAACGGCAAATTTGCTTCGAAACATTCAAAAACCGCATTTCTTGCAGCTTGACAGTCTGCCGTTATCAAAAAGGTGAGCTTTCATGTCGTCTAGATTGTAGGCAAAAGATGCATCGAATGCACGAAAAATCGCATTAGAAAACTACTAGTGATAAAATGATATGGTTTGGAAAACAGGGTCGACGATCAGCGTGTTCTTCGGCTTCAAGAGCTCTAGAATGATATAAGGTAGTCAGAAGTGTTTGAAATAACGGGCCTAATTAGCGAATAATCAAAATCATCCAAAGATTAATTGATACTTTTTGATGATTAATTAATTCTCGCTTCAACCTTTTCTAGATGCATCCAAAAGTTCACCTTTGAAGATGGCCCCAACACTTCGCTTCCGTAGCACCAAAAAGTGTATGCTTCTACAGTTTACCGTTTACATAATATAAGAAAGTGTAACGAGTGTCTCGCCTTACTTAAAGCCTATGAGGAACTTACTTGCAATCTATCCTTTCAAATGTTCTATTCCATACATTGATACCACTCTGCAGCTGACAGAATCAGAGACCTAACAGCGATTCGAAACAAGTCGACAGTCAAGAGGAAGCGACCACCCAAAATGAAGCTGCGCGGCTGTTATGATACTCATATATATCAAACTCTCGCGCTTAAGAAGCCCAGTAAATCAAAACCAACAAAGGGTCGGAACCATAGTTGCGATAGGAGGAGTGATGGATCTTACCCCCTTCACTTTGAGGCCAAACTCCCGACGACCCCCTTCACCTGGGCTGAGATTGGTATTGTACTCTGAGAATATGATAAAAATCGTTATTGAAAGGTTTTGCAGGCTAAGTACCTCAAACAACAAGTACACTCATAAATTTACTAAAGAAATGGTATTTATGTTTATTTATATTATTTATTTATCCTCGTAGCATTTTGGAGAGCAGAAAGTGAGGACATAAAATCAGTTAATTTTTGAAGCACATAAAATCTTTCATATCTCGCGGCAGAGAAGACCTAGAAAAAAGTCGACGTTCCATGTCGATTCTCCATGATCTCAGCTTTCAAATGGTATACAGCATGTCAGCGCTTCTTTGCTTCCCGGCTCTAAAAATCATTTGCTCCGGTAACCGATAAAAGCCAATACATTGGTGGAGCTGGGTTGGAGCAAGCTAATAGTAAATATCTCCACCCCATTTTTGAAGACTGGTTAGTTTTTTCGCCTAGCAACCTATATACCATTCGAAAGCTCAGGAAAAGGGGATTCGACCTAGACCGTCGACTTCTTTCTAGCCCCCCTCTACCGAGAGATACACCGCATTTTATCTGAAAACATGGTCATTTTCAACAGCAGATTTCTGCCAAATGAAGACCTAATCACTGCTGAATATCTATCTGTGTTAAAGAGCAAGTCTTCATTAACAAACGTAGACCGTCGACTTTCTCGTAGCATTCATTTGGAGAGCAGAAAGTGAGGACACAAAATCAGTTAATTTTTGAAGCACATAAAATCTCTCATATCTCGCGGCAAAGAAGACCTAGAAAAAAGTCGACGGTCTATGTCGATTCTCCATGATCTCAGCTTTCAAATGGTATACAGCATGTCAGCGCTTCTTTGCTTCCCGGCTCTAAAAATCATTTGCTCCGGTAACCGATAAAAGCCAATACATTGGTGGAGCTGGGTTGGAGCAAGCTAATAGTAAATATCTCCACCCCATTTTTGAAGACTGGTTAGTTTTTTCGCCTAGCAACCTATATACCATTCGAAAGCTCAGGAAAAGGGGATTCGACCTAGACCGTCGACTTCTTTCTAGCCCCCCTCTACCGAGAGATACACCGCATTTTATCTGAAAACATGGTCATTTTCAACAGCAGATTTCTGCCAAATGAAGACCTAATCACTGCTGAATATCTATCTGTGTTAAAGAGCAAGTCTTCATTAACAAACGTAGACCGTCGACTTTCTCGTAGCATTCATTTGGAGAGCAGAAAGTGAGGACACAAAATCAGTTAATTTTTGAAGCACATAAAATCTCTCATATCTCGCGGCAAAGAAGACCTAGAAAAAAGTCGACGGTCTATGTCGATTCTCCATGATCTCAGCTTTCGAATGGTATACAGCATGTCAGCGCTTCTTTGCTTCCCGGCTCTAAAAATTATTTGCTTCGGTGACCTATAAAAGCCAACACACTGTATAGGTCGTCCCGAAAGTTTTTGCGCACGATTTTCAAAAATTCATAACTTCTGATTTTTCCAACCGATTTGAATGCTTTCACTTTTCTGTGAAAGGGTGAGTCATGCTCTTTATAAAGACATCTCAGCTGCTTAGTAATGGTCATCTGTTGCATAGATAGAAGCTCAAAACCAAAATCACTCAAAATTTGACTTTTTGTGTAGGGTCATAAAAAATCAGAAACTTGCAACAAAAATCGGAGCAGTCGGTATTGTAAGTTCTTTCACCAGCTCTTTCTAACAGTGCAAAGTTTGCTCCGATTGAGCGTCTCCATGAAAAGTTATGATTTCCGAGCAAGCAATATAAAAGGCAAATTTGATTTAATTTCGCATTTTTCAGGGAAATCATAACTTTTCATGGAGACGCTCAATCAGCGCAAACTTTGCATTGTTAGAAAGAGCTGGTGAAAAAACCTGCAGTACAGACTGCTCCGATTTTTGTTGCAAGTCTCCGATTTTTTATGACCCTACACAAAAAATTAAAATTTTTACCATTTTTCTTCTATCGCTCCTATCTATGCAACAGATGACCATTACTGAGCAGCTGAGATGTCATTATAAAGAGCATGACTTACCCTTTCACATGAAGGTGAAAGCAGTCAAATCGGTTGGAAAAATCAGAAGTTATGAATTTTGAAATTCATGCGCAAAAACTTTCTGGACGACCTAATAAGAGCGAGGTGGAGCAAGTTAATAGTAAAAAATGTGCTGTAGATTGACATCGTTATCAGCACTAGCGGGAACGTGAGCGAACGCGTCTATTTGAGCGTGCTTATCGTTGTTATATGTTTGTTTTTTTGGTAAAAAATGCGCTTTTGATTGACAGTTATGCCATCATTATTAGCACACACTCAAAAAACTATGGGAGATTGGGGAATCTCCACACCTTCACACAAAAACCCGCCCATTTATGGAATCTATACTCTATAAACATAGTGCTGAAGAAGGTCACTTTCGTGAAAACGCTCTAGACTCACCTTACCTAATTTGTAGCGAATGGTTGGTTTCAATGAATCAAAAACTCTAAGACATTCAGAAGAATAACATGTTATTAAAAAAACCCTCAATGTTTTGGAAAGGTTGGCAGTTTGAAGAGGAAACGGCAGGCAGAATGCATTACAAAATCGCAGATGACTCGCATGTGTTCCAGTTCAACAGCGAGGCAGAAGGAGAATCTTGCGCCGACGAAAATGTTGTCGACATTGATGCAGAGTTGACAATTGAGGGAAACTCTCGGATTCCCTGCATAAGGAATCCAAGCGGATTGTTTAGTTTCGATGAGGAATTGTCCAGGAATTCCATTGCTAATCTTCAGGTTGCTGAAGAAATCAAGGCTGCTAAATTCACAAACATGGAATGAACAAAAGGAATGTGTTAGTACAAAGCATAGTTACTGCACTTTGATCCCCGCTGGAGTGCGAACCCAACTCTGTGCTTTATGCTTGTGGAAGTTATTCGCCTTGTGACATCATGACCTATGATATTGGAAAAAAAACCAACGTGCGCATAGTACCTCCTTTTTTCGGCTATTCCGCAGATGCTGTTAAAGAAGAAGTTGAGCAGCTTTCTAATCAGCTA